AATACTCTTCATTGACTATGCTCACAGAAGCAATTGGGTCATTGTTGTTAGGTGCTCATCAATGACTCAAAAGTGACAAACAAAACAGCGAATACCATACTCTAAGGCATAATCTATGCTGTCATAAGTGTGTTGTACCTATGTTCAATCCATTATGACGGCTTCTGAGGAATACTCGTAGTAGCTGGGCTCATTTCGTAGCTATGTCTGCCATTTACATTCTTCCACAAATGTCTGATCTTCAGCTCAGTCCCAGAAAGTTTCACGTCCCTTCCCTCTTATTTCATTCTCTCACGGTCTCTCTCTTAAGCTTTCTTTTTACTGAATGTTGACAGAGGAACCCTATATTATTCATTATTTGCTGGGTCTCCCGTATGAAGGACATAACTTGGGCCCAAACCTAGACTACTGCCATTCCCGGGTGGTTATAGTATCTGCGTCGCGCTGAAAACCTAAGTTTGGGTAAGCCATGGGAAACTGACTCGTTTTAAACCATCAAGAACATGCCCTTGGAGATGTGTCCAGATATTATCTTTCCGAGAGGGCTATTCTTCACACCCTATGTTCGTATGCACTGGGGGAGGCATAGAAGGGGAGAGAAACATTGAAATGGGACAGGAATTCCAAATTTAATTTTGTCATGCTTATTTTTTATTTTTTATTTTTTTTCATTCACGCATTTCAAAGGTGAGCACTAATAGAAGTAGGTATTAGCATCCTAAGGAGTCTAATATTGCAGTGCTAAGAATCTTATAGACAAAAGGAAAGAAAAGAGAGAGAGAGAGTATAAGGCTGTGAGAATGTAACGGCGGGAAGCTATGTGACCAGGGCATTCTGGAATCTACGATTCACAATTATGTGATCCTTTGTCTTGTGGAATATCGGGCCCTGGCAATATCTCTTACAGAATAATAATAATAGTAATAGTTATAAAAGTAAAACTGCGCGAGACAGGAGCATAAACTGGGAGTGGATAGGGGTAAGAAAGGGGAATGAAAGGAAAGCCTTTCACGCATATGGATATAGATAAAACTAATTGAATTGATATGTAAAAAGCAAATTGAATAATGCTTCCTGGCTTGGTTGTTCATATACCAGCTATTTCACAGATGGGAAGCATCGTCATGAAACAGGCTTATAATGCTGGCTCACCCGTCACGAGACGTCACCGACGCCTGGAACGGCAACAAGAACCATAAAAAGGGGAATTTAAGCGAGAGTAATTTAAATGAGGTTGTATATCAATGCACCGAGGCTGAATGCCCATAAATCCCCATCAGGATGTTAGCGTTCGGCAGTGCGTATGGTGGTTTCTTGCCCGCCCACTAGGTGCAGGCCGGTCCCATCTCGATCCAAAAAACCACAGAGTCATCTTTGAACGAACAGCACTAAAATCTAGGAGGATGACATAATTGACAGCCGAACAAGTAGGCCGTGTAAGCGGCCGAATAAGTATGCTAATACATGGGAACCACCTGGATCTCCCGGAGCAAAGCGCGATCTACGTATCAGTGGGTTCGCTGGTGAGTTACATTGTAAATAGTATGTCTTCAAATCCTCCCGTCTTCGTCTTGTGAGTTGGGCAATGTAGAATTAGTCACTGACCCTGTGGAGCTTAATTCTGAAGATACTACCATAAGCATGCCATAATAAAATGAGTATGTTAGATAAATATACGACATACCAAAGTGACTTGCTGCCAGGGTGAGTCTGGAACATGGGTGAATGATAAAGTAGTGATCCTGGTGACCATAGGACCCTCTGATCCTAGCTTAGTGATTCCAGATACTCGGATCCCGGGACCTGATGATCTAGAAGTGGTTTATCTAGGTGTATGTATGTGATCTGGGTGATTCAGGGGGGGGGGTCCCGCCCTCAATACTTTGGGCTATGGATAATAATATAACATTCCACTTCTAGTCAGCTTAAGTAATAGTAAATAATCTGATCGTACATACTTTCATGATGGCCCCTCCCACTGTAAGTTGCTCAGCACTGCCAACGCCGCTGCTGACAAGGCCACATTCAGAAGAGGAGAAGCGTACGTCCTCAACTTAGGACACAATGGAAAGAAAGCCACTCCTAATATATGAATACAGCATGATCTGCTTTCTTGGCGGGCGATTATGAGGGTTTACGTTTTTAATGACCGACGATAGCTGATGTATGTTGAATCTAATTGTTGACTGAATCTAATTGTTGACATGGTGAATTTGCTCCTGTATGTCCGTATAGTAGGAACTAGCAAGTTACACGCGTTCAATCTCTACGGCATCCCCTTCCATTTGATCTTTAATTTCCAACTTATCATGATTCCTACCAACAGCCGCCGCCTCCCCATCGAAGATCAATGCCATATGCTCCAGGCTATACCCTTTAGTTTCAGGGTAGAAGAAATAGGAAGTGAAGGCGTAGCAGGCGAGGACGGCAACAAAGACGAAATAGTATTTCCATCCGATGGCATCGAGGGCAATGGGGTTGACAAAAGTATTGAAGATCAGGGCACAGGTTGTAGAGATCCAGACGACAGAGAGACCACGCGATCGGAGAGCGAATGGCCAGATTTCACACGGATACGCAGTGAGAAGTGGGGATCTATCGAGGAAAACAAGGTTAGAGGGTGATCTATAACGTACGTCCAAGCAATGAGACAGTGAGACAGTGAACTTACAGTGCGATGTCGTAGCCAGCGAAGAAAATAAAGATGAAGGGAATGACTGCCGTTCCTATCGGTACAGAACCAGTCGTTGCAAAGGAACCGGACAGACCAGTAATTGTAATATAACCGACAAGCATTATACCGGCAGAGGTGAGGAAAAGAGCACGGCGACCTGCCCGTTCGACCAACGTTGCACCGACTGCAGCGAAGATCAGGTTCCAGATTTGTAAACAGGCAGATATAAGTAACTGATCCTTTGTTTTTGAGATCCCAACGGAATCCAACACCAGAGCCAGATAGTAGGATACGACGCCATTTCCAGACCATTGGGCGAAAATACCTAGAGTGACTGTGATAAGAAGACGATGCCGATTCCCCGGTGTCTTGACCATGTCCATGTAGCTGGAAGACGACGAGGCTTCTTTTTCGGCTGTGATGGCTGCATGGATCTCGGTGACCTCGGATGTTATCAAGGGCGCAGTGATGTCGCCACCGGCGTGCAACAGCGCAAGCTTCTCCCGGGCTTCTTCCACGCGGCCAGTTCCGATTAACCAACGAGGACTCTCGGGGGTCATGATGAATCCTGGAATTGCCGCAACAGGGAGGAGGATCTGCAGGAGCGTGGGCAATCTCCATGACCACGAACTGCTGTAAGTTCTGGTAGCGAACGTCACCCAAGACGCAACAACAGAGCCCCCATAATACCCAACCATGAAAAGAGCACTTGTAACGCTTCGATGAGCAGGGTACGCAATCTCGCCCAACAATAATGGCCCGGGGACGCTGACACAGCCAGACCCAAGACCGATCAAGACGCGTGATACTATAAATACGGTGTCATTAGGAGCAAAGGCCCCAAGGAGTGATCCCACCGCGAGAATCAAAACTCCCATCCATATAGTCGGTTTTCGTCCAAACTGGTTGCACGCCCATCCGGCCGCCATCGACGAGAAGATTGCTCCCGCTGCGTATATAGCGTTTATGAAGCCGAGCCAGGTACTCGATGGCATTTGCATAAACTCTAGCCAACTATCCAGAGACTGAAGGCCATTCACCAGAGAGCCATCGAAACCGTTGGAGGAGGCTAGATAAATCAATACTCGGTCGTTAATTGACGGAAAGCTCCTTACAGAAAAGCGTCAGTGATATGAGGCAGAAATTGAGATGGTGTAACTTGGGATCTCTCCACCAGGGAAGCTCTGCACGAACAGAGGCCACCGGTCCAGGATCGTCTTTCTGGCAAGTCTCTACTGTCATTTCGAATGGAGGTCAATTTGCTGGAGTATAGGAAGCAGGAGACTCTACGCTGATTGATAATTGAGATTTTATACCCTGCGTCCAGTCTGGGCTCGGGGGTATACCCGGAGTTCTGCCAAGTTGCAGTGCATAAAGCGAAATCCCGTAATGCGGAGAAAGTGTGGGGAAGTTCCTCCCCGCGAAGATTTAACTCCACGTTAGCGGCACACCAATCAACCTGCAGGGCCAAGATTTTCTTCCCGATGTTCCGGCTGCCTGGTCTGGAGGACGGCACATTCTCTGGTAAAGGGGTGCCGAAGCAACGGTACCTTGCATGCCGCCACGTGATGTATACATACAGTGGCACAAGTATTGTCACCAATCACGCCCCAATGCCTTTCGAAAATCTGCCGCTTTAGCAGCGTGATACAATTGATCCAGTGTCAATTGAGGAGATAGGGACGACCGTCTCAGTGTCCTGTTGCTTACTTATAATCACATAGTTCTGTAGACAATTCCACAGACAGGAAATATGTACGTACAGAAATGTGATTCCGAGGTCGGCTTCGAGGCAACCCTAAAGGCCCGGAAGGACGCTTTCCTTGGGAACTTGGCGGGCAGGAGCGAAGCCAGTGTGGCTGTAGCAAGTCCGGCTGCTTTTCTCCACAGCTGAACACGCATTCTCACCGCACTGATAAGGTTTCACGCTGGTAGTGTGTGCCTTGGATATATGACATCCGGCCAGGATCTGTCTTTCGCTGGGATTGACTTGGATTATTGGACTTGCTGTCTCTCTGTAACACAGGTCAAAGAATGTAAACAGAGTTAGGGATAATATTCTTTCACCGTCAAATTTATATCTGAACCTACAAGCACTTCTAGAGATTGGGATGAAGAAACACCCAGCTTCATTAGGATTATGGCTGAATTTTATCCCGCCGATATTGTCCATCTGGATGACTTATCATGGCTTATAGGCTCGGGGGTATAAGCAAGTGGTAAAGCGCAACACTACAACTTCAAGTAGGAGACCTTAGCTCCCTTATATACAGCTCTTAAGGTTGATTAAGATAAATTCAAGTTCGGTGAACCTCATTATCATAGCTCACAGCTTTGTACCCACGCGCGCATCTCGAGTCTTCTCTTCTAGCATTCTGCAAAGCTCAGGTCCAAGTGTAATTATGGCCTGTGCGGTAATATCTGTCACGGACTTACCGGTTGACACCTGATAGTCACCAGCTTGCAATTCCCACTTGCCACTCTGTTCGCTGAAGTGTGCAAGCTGATAAATATCAAAATCAATACTAGTAGTCTTGGTCTCGCCCGGCTCCAGATGGACCTTTACAAAACCAACAAGTTCTTTGACCGGATTCTCGGGGACCACCTCCTTGCTGCCAGCGTAGACTTGAACAACATCGTCCCCAGCATAAGAGCCAGTGTTTGTCACATCCATGCTCACTTGAACAGTGCCATCACTGGTCACGTCCACCTTATGGTTGGCATGCGCAAAAGTGGTATAGGATAGACCATAGCCGAATGGGAAAAGAACCTTGCCACGGTTTTCTTCCGATCGGTCGTAGTGTCGATACCCGACAAAAACACCTTCCGCGTACTGGACCTGGAGTTGGCGGTTGCCATCGTTCTCGACATACTCACCTGGGAAGTTGCCATGTGCGGGAGCATCCTCGACTCTGTGGGGGAAGGACATTGGCAGTCGGCCGGAAGGGTTGGCTGCTCCCACAAGAATATCGGCAATGGTATTGCCCGCTTCCTGGCCCGGGAACCAGGCTTGAACAACGGCCTTGACCTTGCCCAGCCAAGGCATAGCTATTGCGACTCCGGTGCTGTTGACGACGATGGTGTTGGGGTTTGCGGCGCCAACTGCTTCTACCAGCCGGTCCTGGGAGCCATTGCTAGGAAGATGGAAGCTCTTTTGATCCTGGCCTTCCGTCTCCCAGTCGGGTGTATGGCCAGTGAAAATGATAGCAATGTCAGAGCTTTTGGCCACCTCAACTGCTTCCGAAAGCAAGTCTCGGTCGTGCTCCTGCTCTGTCATGAATCCGAGGCGGAAACCGATCAAACCGTCGAGCATAGCAAGCCCGCTTTTAGAGCTGGGCTTGACCGTTATGACTTCAATGGTATAGGTCGTGCCGGCCTCGAAACTGAATTGAACTTCGGGCTCTTCCACGCCCCCCAAGAGAAACGCCATAGAGTCCGGGCAATTGTCCCTCTGATCATAGAGTAGCTTCCCGTCGATCATAACCTTCGAAGGTCCCAGCCCAGACATGCCGAAGTAGTGGTTCCCACTGTGCGAGGGCGTGAAACGGGCAGTAGCTCGAAGGCTTCCCCACTTCTCCTTGACAAAGATGGGTATATAAGTAGGTAGCGCACTATCGCTTGTCGAAGCCGGCTTGCCAGTGGGTTCCTCCTCGTTGAAGAATTCTAGCGTCCAGCCAGGCTTTCCGCCTAGGCCCACCACATCTTCGCCGAGTAAAGGCAGCTGACGGAAGGTGTTGGCACCTTTAGCAAAGTCAAACTCCACTGTGTCGCCCAATGCAGCCCGAAGGCCTTCCTCTGGAGTGACACGGTAGTGAGCATTAACACTGGCACTGCCACCGCCATGGATAAGACCTTCTCGCGCGAAGCCGAGTAAGGCGATCTTTTTATTGGCCAGCCGCTCCTTTTTCAAAGGCAGCACAGCTGCATCGTTCTTGAGAAGGACGACGCCCTGACTACCCACGGAACGGATCAAACGTTGATGCTCTGGCAGATTGATGGCCCGTTCTTCTGGAATGGTCGGATCTTCAAAGCAGTTAAGCTTGGTCAAGAGCTCAAGAATCCTGCGCGCGTGGTCATCGATCGTCTTGTGCGATACGGCTCCAGACTCCACGGCAGCGACCACATCTTCCACTTTACGCCACCGCGGTGGCCCGGGCATCTCCAGATCCAAACCCGCGTTTAAGGAGTCAGCGGTTGAATTAGTACCCCCCCAGTCGCTCATGACGAGGCCGTCCCAACCCCATTGCCCCCGTAGAACGTCCTGTAGCAGGAACTTGTGTGAATCAGCATGGGTGCCGTTGACAAGGTTATAAGCTGTCATGACGGCCAGAGGATTAGCCTCCTTGATGGCAATTTCGAAGGGTTTCAAATAGATTTCTCGTAGAGCACGTTCTCCGACAATTTCATTGACGGTGAAACGACAGGTCTCCTGCTCATTGACGGCATAGTGCTTGATGGTAGCAGCAACCCCATTGTCCTGCAGACCGTGGATGTACTGCGCCGCCATTTTCCCAGCTAGGAACGGGTCCTCAGAAAAGGACTCGAAATTGCGGCCTCCGAGGGGGTGGCGATGAGGGCAGACGGTGGGAGCCAATCTGGGCATTTGTCAGTACATCATGTTTACGCGCCACAACTAGCCTCCTAGACCTGATTTACAGAACTCTTGCTCCTTTTGATCGTGTCTCGTCTGCGAGTGCTCTTCCGATTTTTCTGACAGCTTGACGATCCCATGTTGCTGCCAGCAGGCACGATGCAGGAAAGCATGCTGATGTTGTGCCCCCTTTGAAAGCAGCACCCCGTGCCCCGTTTGGTCCATCTGAGGTCTATATGAATGTACTGGTCAGTCGGAGGGGACCATTCAGTAATACTGCGACTGAAGTGAAGTGGGCAAACCTTTACAGAAGGGACACCCTTCTCTGGCAAATCTACAGTCTGCCAGAAATCCTTCCCGGCCAACAAAGTAATCTAGCGGGCTCATTTATAATCAGTAAATCCTCCTGTTTAGTCCGTAAGCAATGACAGGTAAAATGTAACCTTTTCTTCTAGAGTCAAAGTCGCGAGAAGATTCTCTATCTTCCCGGGTTCAACATTTTTGAATGCCATGATGGACGAACTGTTAAACGGCCTAGATCAACTTGGGAATGGATTTCAGTCGGAGCTGGAAGTGCCACGAACGAAGCGCCCTTTTATATTCTGCCATCGGGAATGCCGACGTCGCTTCTCCTTGAACTCAGGAGCCAGGCTATTCCCCCACACGAGGGATATCCACGGCAGAACGTGGAGCTCTATGGGGTCAGTAATGATTGCGAGTTGTGATAGCATGCCAAGTCGCTTGGATGCGCCGGCTAATCTTCGGCAGTTGCCTTTCTTACCTTTTTAAGACTAGCCCACAGTCACCTGTGGTCTGTGGTCCGCCGATACATGATGTCGCGCGTAATCTTCCCTAATCTGCCCAAACATTGGAATCCATAAACAGCGTCTTCATGTTATTGGATTGTCTTGCTTCTCATATTTATATCTAGTGGGGCCAACTCTGAAGGGCTTCAGGAGGTTTCCCGGTGCCTCCTGGTGCTAACAAGCTGGCCCGACACAGTATGTTGGATCACCACTCCTTATGCCTGTGATGCTATTAGATAGTAGTCCATATGTTAGTAGACTATCTATGACTTAGAGACAGAGACTCGTGGCTCAAGGGTACTAGAAGGAGGACAATAAAGTCAGGATACTAAGATAGGTCAGTACAGGGCCAGGATGAGGTAGGGTTCAGCCTCCTCCCCGCAGGTTCCCCGCCAAGGCGGCACTAAACCTAAAGGTAAGGCACTGCTTAGTATAAAAATCTTTAGAGCTTTATACCTCTGCCGATTCTATGAAAGATAGGGATTGAAATGGGATGGTAATTTGTAATTTGATTAGGTCACTCCGATTTTATTCACGCATGTCAAATGTGAGCGCTTATGGAAGTAGGTATACGCAAACCAAAGAGTCTAATATGGAGTACTAAAAATCTTATGATTAAAAGAGACTCTAAGTCTGTGAAAATGAAATTTTGTAGTCACAAAACTCCCCACTCTTTTAAAATGGCTTATATATCTTTAATTTGTGAAGTAGATGGATAAGCTACCTACCTGAGAATTGAGCCGATATAAGCATATATAAAAAACTGCGCTTGATATGGACCAGTCCCGACCCCCCAAGATATCGCGCTGGGAGAACAGGACCTTTCACGACCAACTCACCCACAGCCCCAAAATAAGAATATATTATATATAAAGAAGACGAGTAAAGTAACAATCTTTAGCTATTTATACATAGATTATTAAGCTTCTAATATTTAGATCAGCCCAGGTGATCGTTGGGGCGTACTTATCTCAACTACCCATGTCTGATATACCAGCAACGGAAGTCACAGAGCTAACTGGCGGCAGTTCCATCGCGTGCTGTTATCTTCATTGAATGTCCATATCCCCAAATTGATTTGATAGGCATTGTTGTAGTGGGGATGGGAGAAGTTTCATCATGTACTCCATCCGTGAAGAATGGTGATTTATTGAGACTTGAGATGAGATAGGCAGTCTTTACAATGGAGGATCAACGCCTTGTCTTGTATTTGGGGGTCATGTTGATACCCTACAAGCCATGAGCTAAATCTGGCTCGATAACATCGCCTCCGTCAATGGAGAGGGAGTATATCTCGTCACTAATAAGATGCAGTTGTCGGGATTGGCAGGATTTCATCAATAGGTTGATGGCCGATGCTAGATAACAGTGGCCCAGTAGGTTGTGAGAATTGCGTAAACATTATAGCGCGAATTGGTTTTCCAGTCCTCTCAAAATTACGGGGTGCCTTTTATATAACAGGCAACTACCTCTCCGCCCAGAGGATCAACACCATTAAAGTGGCTGTACCAGCAAGATCCGAGACTGAGAGACTCTAAAATGGTTGGAGCAACTTAGCTGGTGTGTACGCTGGGTGATGTTCCGTAAAGATTCCACCTGCTCTAACAATGGCGAATACTAGGATGTTATGACAGATCTGGGAGATGAATTAACTCCATGCTTCATTCGTATCATTTTCCTAATAGCATTACATCGTTGAAAGCATGAATTCCTACACAATATCCGGGTAGACATCGCAAATAAATACTTGAGCTGGAGAGGCTCGGGTTTCGGGGGAAATTTGCCCCGAAGCAAGCGCAATTTCAGCATCATGAGCCAAAAGAGACGTGTCCGTGCAGTCTTATACGAAGAGGTTATTTAGAAGCCAAAAGCTTAGCAGCGGCCTCTATATAGTTTTCGGCAGGATAACCTATCGCTGGATGGCTAATCAACGTCAGCGATCAATCTTCTCATTCACGAGTTGTGCTGTTCACTGCGCATGCTATGGAAGGAAATACATGGAATTCAATGCAATTAGTCTAAATTCAAGGTGAATAGAATGTGAGCCCTCTAGGAATTCGCATTAGAAAGACTTCCGCTGAGAGACCCGCTTACAAAGCGCTTCTAGACTTGAATCGAATACAGACTCTGGGATGGGCTTAAATCCGGCAATATGGAATGATTCTTTTACCCGAGATTGAAATAGCTGGAAAATAAACTCTGGATACACAAGGCATACTATTACTCCTATTACTCCATGAGCCGTTTCATGGACAAGCTATGTCTGTGTATGTGTTCAGGCTAAAGAAGAAAAGCTAAACATCGCCAACTCAGCTGCGTTACCCGAAGATTGTCCGGCGATGGGAAGATGTCTATGTATAACTCCGCTTTCGAATGGTTTATCATGTCGGCATTGTTCAGATTCTATGGCCCGGCTCCGGGTCATCATTCATATCCGTGCAATTTAGCCTGAATGGATTGGGTGGTTATGCAGATATCGGAATATCCCCGCGTCGGACGAGGTGATCGGCTGCGGGACTTTCTCGATTCGGGACTTCATCTGTGGGGGTGGAAGTAAAATGTTGGAGATGCTGCGGCAATGCCGACTTTTTTACCCAGAGAGAGATGACGGTGACGTACACAGCTTAAGGAAGACAGCTAGCTCCCCTTGCCATTGAGAATGCAATTGCCGATGGCTATAAATCGCCGCCTACTGCCGGGCTACAAGACGAAAGTGCAGCTGCAGCATTGTACCGCCGACAATTGTCATTATGCCTGGTGCAGCGTCCATCGTCGCCGTCCTGGCAGCCTTGTTGCCGACCGCTCTTGGTCAAGCAAACCAAAGCTATGTCGACTACAACACTGAAGCCAATCCAGACCTGTTCCCCGAATGTCTGGAGACCGGTGGCACATCCTTTCCGGACTGCGAGAGTGGTCCCCTGAGCAAGACTCTGGTCTGCGACACTTCGGCCAAACCCCATGATCGAGCTGCCGCCCTCGTCTCCCTTCTGACCTTCGAGGAGCTTGTGAACAACACCGCAAATACAGGCCATGGTGCCCCTCGAATCGGCCTGCCCGCGTATCAGGTGTGGAATGAAGCTCTCCACGGTGTCGCCCACGCCGATTTCAGCGACGCCGGCGACTTCAGCTGGTCCACGTCCTTCCCGCAGCCAATCTCGACCATGGCTGCCCTCAATCGCACCCTAATTCACCAGATTGCCACCATCATCTCCACGCAAGGACGGGCCTTCATGAACGCCGGCCGCTTCGGGCTGGACGTCTACTCTCCCAACATCAACACCTTCCGCCACCCCGTCTGGGGCCGCGGCCAGGAAACCCCCGGCGAAGACGCCTACTGCCTCGCCTCCACCTACGCATACGAATACATCACCGGCATCCAAGGCGGCGTTGACGCCAACCCACTCAAACTCATCGCGACAGCCAAACACTACGCCGGCTACGACATCGAGAACTGGGCCAACCACTCCCGTCTCGGCAACGACATGCAAATCACCCAGCAAGACCTGGCCGAATACTACACCCCTCAATTCCTCGTTGCCTCCCGCGACGCCAAAGTCCACAGTGTCATGTGCTCCTACAATGCCGTCAACGGCGTCCCCAGCTGCTCCAACTCCTTCTTCCTTCAAACCCTCCTCCGTGACTCCTTCGACTTCGTCGAAGACGGCTACGTCTCCGGCGACTGCGGCGCAGTCTACAACGTCTTCAACCCCCACGGCTACGCCGCCAACGAATCCACCGCAGCCGCAGACTCTATCCGCGCAGGAACCGACATCGACTGCGGCGTCTCCTACCCACGCCACTTCCAAGAATCCTTCCACGACCAAGAAGTCTCCCGTCAAGACCTGGAACGCGGTGTCACCCGTCTCTACACCAACCTCATCCGCGCCGGCTACTTCGACTCCAAAACCAGCCCTTACCGCAACATATCCTGGTCCGACGTACTATCCACAAACGCCCAAAACCTCACCTACGAAGCTGCCGCCCAAAGCATCGTCCTACTTAAAAACGACGGCATCCTCCCACTCTCTACCGCCACCTCCTCCTCATCAAACCGCACCACCACCACCACCATCGCTCTAATCGGACCCTGGGCCAACGCAACCACCCAAATGCAAGGCAACTACTTCGGCCCAGCCCCCTACCTAATCAGCCCGCTGCAAGCCTTCCAACAATCCTCCTCATCCGAAGGATACAAAGTCACCTACGCAATAGGCACAAACACCACCACCGACCCCACACCCCACTCGCAATCCGACGCCCTCACCACCGCCCAAGAAGCCGACATCATCATCTTCGCCGGCGGCATCGACAACACCCTCGAAACCGAAACCCAAGACCGCGCAAACATCACCTGGCCCTCCAACCAACTCTCCCTCATCACAAAACTAGCAGACCTAAACAAACCCCTCATCGTCCTCCAAATGGGCGCCGGGCAGGTCGACTCCTCCGCCCTGAAAGCAAACAAGAACGTCAACGCCCTCATCTGGGGCGGATACCCGGGTCAGTCGGGTGGGCTGGCCCTCAGGGATATTATCACGGGCGAACGCGCCCCGGCGGCTAGGCTCGTTACGACTCAGTATCCGGCTGACTATGCCGAGGTGTTCCCGGCTATTGACATGGGTCTTAGACCTAATGGGTCGAATCCCGGCCAGACTTATATGTGGTATACTGGGACGCCGGTTTATGAGTTTGGACATGGACTTTTCTATACTACCTTTAGTGTTTCTGCTGCTGCTGCTGCTGCTGCTGGTGGTGGGAATAAGAATCGGACGTCGTCGTTCAATATTGAGGATGTTCTGGCACGCCCGCATCCAGGGTATAAGTTGGTGGAGCAGATGCCGTTGTTTAATTTCACGGTGGATGTTACCAATACTGGAGACAGAGTGTCGGATTATACTGCTATGGCGTTTATTAATACGACGACGGCTGGGCCGGCGCCGTATCCCAATAAGTGGTTGGTTGGGTTTGATCGCTTGAGTGCTGTGGAGCCTGGATCGTCCAAAACGATGGTCATTCCGGTGACGGTGGATAGTCTGGCTCGTACTGATGAGTTGGGTAATCGGGTGTTGTATCCTGGTCGGTATGAGGTGGCGTTGAATAATGAGAGAGATGTGGTTTTGGGCTTTACGCTCACGGGGGAGAAGGCTGTGTTGTTCAAGTGGCCTAAGGAGGAGCAGTTGATTGCGCCGCAGTAGATCTGAGAAATAGGTTTTAGTTGGATGTAATGATGTGGCTTGCTTGAAATGATACGAAGATAGAATTACTGCTTTATGATACTATGTTTCATTCTATATGCAAATTTCATGGTGATATAAACGTGACTGTGTCCAATTTTTGTAAAACTCTTAAGACTTTATGCTGTGATTGATTCCTCCGTGAATGGAATTTATAATCCATCGTTGTTCTGTTTTGTGGTAATTGTGCCTCTTCACGAAGTAGAAGGCTCTGTCTCTATCATCTGAACGAGCTCATCATACTCGCCTGTGTTGCGCAACATATCCCAGAAAATACCTTCTTTCTTAACCAGGTTGGCGGGCGTGTCATTCCTATTTATATCTGTTAATATCAAGCCATTACTACAAACCCACCACCTGAAATTAGATTAATAGAATGAGGAACAGAAACATACTCAACAATCTCCCCATCGGCCATAACAAGCACCCGATCATAATCCATAATAGTCCTCAACCGATGCGCAATAGCGATGATGGTACAATCGGGGAACATCTCCCTTAGAACACGCTGCATATGCATGTCCGTTTCATGGTCGACAGACGCCGTCGCCTCGTCCAACAGCACGACCTTGGATCGTCGACACATGGCTCGTGCAAGACTGAGCACCTGACGCTGGCCCTGGCTGAAGTTCTCGCCGTTAGCCGCCACAGGTGTATACAGAGTGAGAGGGCGGGTCGTTTTGGCGGGATGGGCATGGTCCGTCTGGTCGCTGCCGTCAGGGACATGAATGGAGGTGCAAGCTGCCAGGGCGGAGGCAAGTTCTGTTTCACTGGACTCGCCGAATGGATCGAGGTTCGAGTGAACGTCCCCCGAGAAGAGGACCGGTTCTTGCGGGATCAAGGTTACGCTGGTGCGAAGTCGGTTCAAGAAGACCTTGGTGATGTCGACTCCGTCGATGGTTATCCGACCTGACGCGATGTCCACGAATCGTAGTAAGGATAGTCCAAGGGTGCTTTTGCCACTTCCTGTTCGGCCGACGAGACCAATGCGTTCACCGGGGTTTGCGATGAAAGATACGTTGCGTAGAACGTCGGGCCCCTCTTCCTGGTATCGCGCGGTGACGTTGTGAAACTCGACACGGCCGGATGTAGGCCAGCTGGCTGGAACGACCGAGGATTTTGCTTGGTCTTCACTCAGGTGTTCCTCTGGTTCGATGTCCGCGTATTCACGCACCCGCTGGAAACAGTTCAGCTCGACCTCCAGCTCGTTCATTGTCCGCACTAGGTTCAGGATATTCTGGCTGAGGCCAATGGCGTTGGTCAATGAGAAACCAACTAGCCCTGCTGGTCCGGACCAAAAGTAGGCCACACAGCCCGCCGCGGCTGCAACAGATGCAGCACATAAGTCTGAGCGGACGGATATCCAACGGTTGCAATTATACTGTGTTTCTGCGGAGCGGGCATGAACAGCCAGCTTCTCGGCGAGTAGCCTCTGAAACACCAGATCCATATCCTTGCGGGCACGAATCACGCACAACCCAGATAGAGAATCGGTGAAATGTGAGAATACAGGGGAGTAGTTGATGGATGTCAGCCGCTTGATGGAGACTTGAGTGCGAGTGTACATCTCTCCGATGACGAACCCAATAGTGCATATGACAGCCGCCGGAAGAGCAAATATAGGCATGATCGAGGCAACACTGGCAATGCGAAGCAAGAAACGCAACCCGTTCTCGATTGACATCCGCAGCCAATCTATCAGAACTGTGTCTAGAGACCGCGTATCGTTTCCAAACCGGTTAATCAGCCGTCCGATTGGATTCTGGTCAAACCAGGAAATGGGGGCAGATAGGACCGCTGTCACTAGTCGCCTGTGCATCTTCTTCGCAGCTGTCCAGCTTCCGTATTGATAGAGGAGATTGCCACTGAGCTGCAGCAACAGGAAGAGGATGATCGCTGCGGCGTAGACCCCTAGATAGTAGAGGGAATTTGGGTTATCGTACTTTTCGTATGCACCCATCCAAATAGAGAGCCAGTAGGTGATCGCAAAGTAAGCAAATTGCACTGCGATAGTTACAGCCATTGCGAGAGGTGCGTAGCAAGGCCCACCAAATAAGAGGATGTATTGTAGGGCTTGAGAAAATGGTTAGGTGTGCTTTGGGAATATTGCGGGGAGTAACGTACCTAAAGTGCGCGGCACACGCCCAGTAGCTGACGTTTCCTTTGCTATGCGCCCTACCTGCGGACTTTGCTGCTCGTGTGCAGGGGCAATGGTGGTGGTAGGCTCTGAAGGAGCATCAAGGGATTCTTCTACTATTAGCGGGTTACCTAAGGATACTGAATCTGTATCGGTTGCGGGTGTACTGCAGCGCGTACGCTGTAGAAGGGCTTGGGGGAGGCTCGAAGGTGTTTCTACAGTAGATGCCTTGCCATGATCGAGCCGTACAAGCAGTTCGGCATCCTGCAGGGCGGCTGGATAATGCGTGATAAGAACAACCGTTCTATCTGAGAGCAGGCCACTACGAAAGCACTTGTCGTAAACCAGTGTAGTGGTATGCGTGTCAAGTGCAGAGAAGATATCATCCAGTAGGAGTGTGGAGGATTGCGAATATAGAGCCCTCGCTAAGGATACTCGTTGTTTTTGGCCCCCGGAAAGTGACGTACCCTTTTCGCCCACGATAGTAGCATCTCCAGCTGGCAGCTGCTGGAGGTCTTGAATCAAACCGCTTGCTTCGATAACTGTGTTGTAGCGGGCTTTGTCAAATGGGCTGAAGAAAGTGATGTTTTCCCGAATCGTGTCATTCTGGAGCCAGGGAGCTTGTGGTACATAAGCCACATCTCGTGGACATGAGGCGGTTCCGGATTCGAGTACAGTTTCTCCCAGCACAGAAAGTAATAAAGAAGTCTTTCCACTTCCAGTGGGACCTGTCACTACGTTGAGGGCACGAGGTCTGAAGCGAACCGAAACGTCATGTAATCTAAAAGCAGCAATAGGGGTTCGGCGAAATGTTGCATTCTTAAGCTCCAATGGCCCTTCGGGGTGTTGTTTGATTTCCCTTGCTGTATCGAAGAAACGGTCGACTCGCCGCAGCGATTCTGCTCCTTGGGCAGAAGCTCTACTGATGTTTGACAGCCAGACGAATTGGGAGCGCAAGGTCTCCATGATCGACAGGGATGTAAAGGCCGTTGCGGCTCGCAAGGTGTCATTTGTGAATAGCACAAAGACAGAAAACATGACTAGCAAGCTCATCATGGGTAACAGGTCACCAGCCATTGAAATGGCAGCAGCATACACACTCCGCTTCCAGAGGCGGCGTTGTTCCACACCTCGAGCTTCGTTGATAGATTCCATTGCAGCATGCTCCCAACCAAAGTATTTCAGAGTTCGTATGGAGTTCAAATACTCGGATATTTTAGAGAGTCGAACATCTGTAGCTTGCATCACAGATCTCTGGATGCGTGAAACCCTGCGGGAGGCCAAGGCGGGAAGAGGAGATAGAAATAGAAGTGCAGAGACCCCAAACAGTGATGGCCAGCCCAGCATTCGATAGAGGAATATCACAGCAACTGTGGTGGCTATTGGGGCTGCAGTGGCCACGAAAAAGATGTCTCGCGAATTGTATATGGCGTCTACATCATACGACATCAGACTAGTTATGTTAGCTTGGCTAGACTTTGGTGCTCCTTTCGCAGAATCTCTCATCTTGCGAGAGGACTTCGAGCGATCTTCTGTACTAGTTTCGATGATGGAATCATCGTACAGGTACGACCGCATTGCGGTCTGATAGATCTCCTGTACCAGCGACACATTGACTCGAACAAGAAGTCGAGTAGCAGTGAAGATGTATTGCTGATAACAGAGTGACCGCGACATTGGTCCGATAAATAGCAGGGCCACCCACAGGGCTGGATGAAGGATGGCATCCTCTGGGCTTTCCAGGTACGCAAGCAGTCGCAGCATTGAATACGGTGCGACAAAGTCCAGAACTGCAGTAATTGACGACCAGCACATCATGCTCTTGATTTCAGTCTTAAGCAACCTACACAGGGTTCGAAATGTCTTTCCACCTTTGAGACGCTGCCTCTTTATTTTTTTCAGCCACTTGGAAGGTTCATCATACGAGGGTAAAGGAGGGAGGTCATCCATCGTTAGGTCCCTCCGGCAGCCCCGCAAGATCACATATGTCAGCCATTCGTATGAGCAATAGTATGAGAACAAAGAACAGGTCTCTTCAGGCGACACCTCATCGACCGATTTCGTTTCTTCGTTTTCTGTATCAGGGACAAACAAACGACGTGGTCGGGGCGTTGCAGCTGCGACTATCAACACAGCCGTAAGACAGGCTATGAGGCCACCCCTGATCCCACTTAGGCCAGATGTCGCCCCGACAATTAACAATGGAAGTAGGTCCTGGACGCATGCTAAAAGTAATAGTGCCAGTGTCACTGCATTAACATGGCGATATAGGTGAGCCCGAGTCCGCTCATTCCTGAAGCAGAACTGCATCAATGCCAATAACACCGCATAGCTCACCGCGGTCGGTTGTTTCCAGTTCTCTGCATGTTGTGCATCGATCCAGCCGAGACAACAAGCAGCTATTGCAGCAGCCAAATGCAAGAATGCAAAGGGTAAAGAAACAATAATTGGCAGATGTTCATTTAGAGAGTCTGCAGAAACCGGAGATTTTGATCTGCCGGAACGAGTCGCATATCGCAGACCCAACGCAAAAAGCAGCCCTACACATGATAACAAGACAGCCGCGAGATGCACGTTACCCGTGGCCACGAAAGCCGAGATCCTCTGCGTCCGGTATTGCCAGAGGCGCCTGGATGGAATCGATTAGCAATTGCCCAAACCAGACCAGTCAATATGAACCGACCTCTGCACTAGACCACCATCTGAATCGTATACACGCTCTGCCCCTCCGAGCTGCGATAGGGAGGGGCCGATGACCTGCTGGAAACCTATGAAGAAGTCCGACATCATGCGCGTTCGTAACGAAATGAGGACGGCACAATCATGCAAGTGGCACGTATTAACTCGCCTTGGCCTACAGTTGCAATTGACCCAGGTCGCGTCTTCACGTTCTCAATTTCCCAGCATTAGCGGTCCGGGAGACTTGTGGGCCTTTCCTATCGGTCTTGTAAGGACGATAAGAGGGGTGTCCATCCTACGCTAACTCCACACTCAATAAATGCGGTATTTGAGCTGAATTATGAACAATCCGACTGGTCCATTAAAGATTCGACGGGGCAAGTCAGAAGCGAAGAACTTTTTGGACTCGGATCGCCGTCGGAGTTTCGGCCAAACCGTCAACATTCCGTGGTTCCGTTCCTTTGCTTATCCCTGGTTCAAGTGGAGTCAAAAGTTCCATGGACGCATTCAGATAATACATACATTTTTAATATTGTCTTATTGACATGGAATGTTCCACTCTCTATATAACTATCTAGGGAAACCCAGAGAAAAATAAAAATAACAAGAAAGGTGGACCAAAACCTTGCTATCTATACACCGTTATATCACTCATCCACAGGCGAACCACCATTGCGATACTGCCATAACCGGCTGAGATCTTTGACCTTCACCGGCCTTTGCTCGTGTTGATTTGCAAGTCCAAGTGGGCTCGCAGGGATTGTCCTGTTGCGATCCGACGGGCGCTTGTTGGTGACGAGCACCTCACTTCTCTCGTGTCTGACGTGTTTCGGTAGGATTTTCTCATACTCGACCGTTCTCGCCCCCATTTCCATAAACTCATTAGTGTCAAGGACCCTCCTGTCTGGTCCTAACGTGAACATCGTGTCTAGATAGTGCTGGTTTAGCTGATGACCCGAACCTGACTGGACAAAGATTCGGCCCATATAGCGGTTTGGGACTCGGGCAAACTGCAGTACCCCCCAAACACATACAAAATCGAAAGCATTGACATAGTGCTCAATATGGAGAACACTCTTCTCCGCTTGCACCGAGGCATCCTGGTCCGATGTCGTTGAGCCTCTAGCGCGCAGCTCCCTGGAGCCCAAAAGCGATTTGTACGGGTTATTGAAGTGGTTGGCAGCGTTGCCAAACGTATATACTTCGAGTTTGCGAAGGACGCTTTCTGGTAGTTCGTCCAGGAGCCAGTCGATGATGAGACTTCCCTCAATGCCACCTTGGCTGTGCAAGATCAGGACAACTTTCTCATACTTCGGATTCAACAGTGTCGCTTTGGTGATGGCATAACCATCTCTTGTATCCGGAGTTGCGAATGTAAAGTTCCTTTGGATCAAGCATTCGATTACATCGAATACGATGCCGTCTCTATAATGACGTTATAACGTGGACATTGCTCAGATCACTGCCATGAGGGGAGACCGTACGTTGGATTATGCACGCCAATAATTTTCCTGCCAAAAGTATAGGCAAGCCGGTCTATGTTATTTTGCAACCAATGATGTCTATATTCCAATAGGTAAGAGACACAGACATCGATAGATCTGGATCGGAAACGTTTCAAACTTACCCGACCGCGACTCCGTTGATAAATATCCAACGTTCCCGTTCATGTTCCGGTCGCTCCTCGATCGGCACTTTTGATTCTATTACCTCGTCCGAATAATTGAATATAAGTGCGCAGATGACTCGGTTTATCCATACAAAGGCCACCACATATGTGGAGATCCACAGTGCTGGCACCATCAACAAGAAACATCCCAACACCGACAGTAAGAAAGCTACCTGGCATAACGCCAGACAAACATGTGCAATAAGATTGACAATATTCTCTTTCGACGGGTATAATTCATCGAGTTCACCCGAGGGAGTCATCGGGAGTAATATTCCCGGCAGACTCCATAGACTCTTGAGGACGAGGAGAATGTCGGCCCACAGCAACGCCAACGGCGACGCTGTATAGGGTAATGGCGGTTTTCGTCCATTTTTCCTCTTCATGAGGAACGTCATGATCATATCAGCGAATAACCGAATTCTCCAAATTCCTATATTCATATTGTGAGCGAACGGCAGAGGAACAAAAAGTCAGGAAAGAGCGACGAACTATATTTCTCTGTTCTATAAAAATGTTGTGTGCGAATTCTGATACAACTGGCAATGACTTCCTTTCACTTTAGTAGGTCTGTTCGTCCAGTAAGGTGGGTTCAGCGTGCCCCATGATGGGTACTACCTTCCTCGGCAAGATCCACATGATGCTGCCTGTTCGTTACTTGGACTGGAATTGAGAATGTGCCCAGACTGACCTGCATTTCGTGGCGGCTACAGCTGAGCTTTCATTGCCGCGGCAAACCGACGCGAGCTCGAATCGGATCAATCAGTAATTGTCCAAGTGATCGACATCCACTCATGTGATGCTACATGGTGCCCTAGCTAGCAATTTAACTACTACTACTACTACTACTACTACTACTACTACTAGGCATCTAAGTATTTCTTGTTGAGTCATCTATCTATATATATGTCACTAACATGCCCTATCCTAGTCTTTTCCACGGGCATTAAGACAGAACCATATAATCATGACTACCCAGATAAGACTAGGCCCGTGCACGGCATACCACCAGAAGAATAGGGAATAAGGACATGCCTGCCATAGTCATCTTGGTCTTTGAATATCACTCAAATATCTTAAAATATGCCAGCTGATTGGGTTATAGCAATACAACTATACTACGTGATTCAAAAAGAACTTCACATTTTACGTCTGCCGTTGATACATTGGTAAGCAGAATAATATAGCCCTCCATCGAGGATCGGCAGTTAAAAAGACTTGATACATTTATATTCGCAGATTTAATATAAGAAGCTTGGGTTCACTAAGTCGAGGGTGAGGTACCAAAATTCGAATTAGGGCTAAAGCCAGCCTGGAACGGAGGTAATACAACATCGAAATCCAGAAGCGCGCTGTTGGCTTCTTCTGCTTCTTTGTTAGAAACACGTCTAGGGTTGCGTGATTCTAAGAAGTCTAAAAAGACTAAGCTATGCTTGATCACTAGTGATCGAGCACCCCCCCCCCTAGGACCCTTTATAAAAGCCCACTAGTAGATTAGGTAGACAGGGTTACCATCCACCTGTCTAGCCTAACATTCTTTTCCTTTTTCAATGTTATATTTTCCTTTCTTCCTCTTTTCCATCAAGGTCTCCATTCGTGGTGTATCTAATGGCAATGCTCGAATTCCTAGTAATCCCAAGGGATGTATCCCATCGCCTTATTTTGTGGGCTCATCTAACCTTCACCGAGATAGCAATTCACGAAGCACTCATCATGAACCAAAGGCAAAACAAATGCCCCATCAAACAATCAATTTTCACACGGCATAATCAAACGAGGCGATGTCGCTCTCAAAAGCACCGCATGGCGAGGGCTTTCTTACATTCTTATAAATTTAAAAGCCCGCTTACAGGGGAATTTCAGATGCTTCCAAATGTTTCTACACGACCTGGCTTGGATACTTTCGAATAAATCTTTAGCAGAACTATCAGCGATGTGACGATGAGCCTTAGCTTCTTATTCTGTCCGAAGCCCGGAGTCGTGACCATGGTAAACTCTAGGAGATCTGGTGCAACCGGTTATAATTGCTTTACCTAGAAAGATATTGCACTATGGTACTTCTCCATTAGCATAGTTAGAAACCAGACCTACTCATGTGGTGGAATCTAACCAGAAAATTAATTTGATCAATGAGAATAGAGATAGGGTTCGCTTGTCCCGACAAGCCTTCTAGAAACTCAAGTGGTCACTTGTCTCATCATCCTGATAGGCAGTACCCCTAATTATATCTTTGCGATCACTTCCGATCCGGCACAGATGGAGCAATAACGTTAAGCCTAGCTCCTACCCAGATTTAACTATAGAAATCTAATCGCCATCCTCCAAAAGTTCCCCCATCTGCAGCAGCCTGATCGACGCCAAGAGGAGGGAGGGGCGGGCCGCGAACCGCAATAAATCCACCCACGTTAACCTCAAAAAGAGGCCTGTGCTTATCAATCTCATTCCCCCGAGTCCCAACCATTAAAGATCTGCCTCGTACAGTCTGTCCAGCCCTATAGCGATGAGGAAAGCCCTCGGGACGTTATATTAGCGCCTACCAATTGCTCACGCTATCCGGGTATTTGACTACCATGTCGCCGCCACAGCCCGGCGGCGGTATCTCGCCTACCTCCCGGAGGAAACAGATCCCTGGCACCCTCGTACTGAACTGGCAATCGCCCGAGACACAGGCATCAAAGCCGCTCATTCGCCGGCCCATGACGGCGTGTGAGGCGTGTCGCACCGCTAAGGTCAAGTGCAACGGACAGCGAAGCTGTGAGCGATGTAGAACTCGCGGTCTCCATTGCACATACACTCCGCCACCGAATACGCAGGATGGAAACAGAAGTGGCAATGCTGGGACTGAAAGAGTGACAACGACTTCTCCGCCGGACAGCCAGACATCCCGTACCCAAAGTATACCGATGCCTGCAAGCCAGACGACCCTAGACCCAATGCCGATCGACTTACCAGGCGATTTCTTTTCCCTGCCCGGTGGCAGCGCAGGCGCTGCTCAATCCATCCTGACGGGCAATGCTCTAGAGTACTGGCGTGAGGAAACATTCAACCAGGAACTTGAGCAGTTCAACTGGGTTTTCCCGGAACCAGACATCGGTCTTGATGTAAGCCTGCCCACCATGTCTATTTTCCCTAGTCCCCACGATTAGTAACAGGACCTTCCAAGCCCTCTCAGGACCCAAGCCAAAACAACTTCGACTTCTTTCCCCAACCCCCAGAACCAGCCCCTCGAACAGTCAGTAGAACCTCAGCACCACTGTCTGATCCCACAGCCACATCAGCCCACAGTCAACCCCAATCACGAAACTGCCATTGCCGAGCAAACATGATGCATCACATCCCCAAGATCGAGTGCGCAATACAAGAGAAGCCCAAACCGCAACTAGACAAGATGTTCAAGGTGGCCGGCGACGTAATTAGGAGCTGTCAAGAATCGACCCGCTGTGGCTGTTACGTGGGCCCCGTAGACCTCGTCTGCATTATGAGCGTATTCGAGCAGACCGCCGTCTGCTTTGACTACATTGCCAAGTCCGGTTCCGATGGCACCGTCAAGGTAGGGATCGGTAACTACTGCGTCTCGCTCACCGACGATGCCTCGTTGAAACGTATGCTGGTTTTGGATCTCGTCCGACAGGCTGATGCTCTGCTGGACTCCGTGAGCGTCCTCGCGCAGAATATATTTGTGTCTTTGAATGAGCCCAGTGCCAAAACCATGAACCGTTCGCCGGCTTGCTTGAACCAGCTCAATCTAGATTACGTACGCGAGGCCACGGCCAGTTTTAAAAAGCTTTTCCGCTTGATCACGGAGTACTTTGGTGGGAAAGACTCTGATGTGCGGGGGACGTCGTACCGCGCTGAATAACGTAGGCGTCATTCGGGAAATAGGAATATAATGATTCATGACAGAGATTGGATAGCTTAGACGTACAAGTCCGCAAGGGAAAGAAGAGTTTGGCATTTTCTTTGTCTTGGCTTTGCTAATCAAGGTACGATATCTTCATATCCTAACCTTTATTCTGAAGGCTTCCAATTTGGGGAATTCCGCAGATACAGGGTCTTTACGATATGCAGTCCATTTCGGAGGTTACCAATGTGGTAGAGGTACTTCCGTACAGAAATACCAGCGGCTTCTTGTACTTGAGTTGCCGAGCATACGAAATCCTCACTCCCAAAGACAGTAACACCACTACAAGCAAACACCATGACTATTTCAAGCCGTGCCTCAACTCTTAACACCTTCAACCAGCCTAAACCAACTGTCAAAGTTGTCTTTTGGTCAAGTTGCGGCGCACTCGCAGAAACCGTATATGCACCATATAGTGAGTCCTACAGAGTGAAGGATGGAGGAGACTTTGCAATACCCATTAGAATGATGTGATTCATTATTCTAGGTCTAAATTATAGTCCTGACTAATACATCGCGCTAAAAGGAGCCTTCCGTTCTATCTAATAACCGGTTACTTGAGAGCACACTCAATCGAACTGAACCGAGAACTTCCTTCTCCACTCTTCGCCGTACCTGCGGAAAAGCAGAGACATCGCTCCCAGTCCCAAAGTGATAAATGCTAGGAGGGCGTTCCCCCATCCATACCCCAGTTTACTATACAACGGCACACCGACAAGTGGCAAGAGTGCAGCAGAAAGACTTCGTAATATGTTGCCGGCGGCGATGGCACTAGCCGCATACTTCGTGTATGCGTCGATCATGTACACGTTGAATGGTATCTTGCAGAAGAAAGGAAATATGCGGTTAGCCCCCAAGACAGCCGTTTGAAGAGTTGTACTTACAAAAGTGAACATCACTCCAAACCCAACAATACCCGTTGCAAAGATAGGAACAACACTATCGACATGGTATTGGACTGTCCATCCATAGATGAAGAAGCCTATGGGGATTGCAATAGCTCCATATACCAAGGACACCAAGCGAAATCTTTGAAGACCATCCTGATTAGTAGAAAGATGGAGGATACATATCAGTGTTGTAGAACTTACTCTGGCTTTGTTGCTCCATGTTCCTTGCTTAGGCGTTTGTGTGTCCGATCGTTGACCACACTGGCGATACTCAGCGACACCAAAAAGCCGATTGCCAGACCGAGATAGACTAAGCCGAGCCTTCCTTGATCGAAATGATACTGGTCTTCGAAAACAACAGAGAAGGTTGAGAAGAGAAGATATGTGAAACCATATACGACGGCATTGTACACAGCTAAGCCTGTGACAACTGGGCAGAATAAAAACATCTTGACGGGTCGAGTGATTGCTCGTCTAAGAACGGTGCGTACTGGTAGCTGGCGTTGGCCTTTTGCGTATAAAGCCTGGTTCCCAGTCTTTTCGCGGAGTTTCTTGACCTTCCGTTCGAGGATGACGGGTGCATATGTCTCTGTGTATGTCAGGGCGCAGATCACCCCCATAGTACCGTTCTGTAATGATGTGTTAACCAATCTAAGACTCATACGCCAGACGAGTACGTGATCAATATCACCCACCACAATAAGCAACAACCAGAATACCCATCGCCATCCCTTTGAAGCGGCTAAAAAGCTACCAGCAACAGGGCCCACGGCTGGACCAAGCAGAAATCCCACCGAATACATCGACATAGCGAACCCTCTTCTGTGGATTGGCACAAGGTCGGAAATCGTTCCGCCGGCATTGTTGAGAGAGCAAGAGGCAGCACATCCCTGAAGGAAGCGCAATACTACCAGCCCAGCTAAGGACGGTGTTAATGCACACCCAATTGTGAAAGCACTGAATCCGATATTTGCACAGTTGTAGATGATCCGGCGGCCAACGACTTCGGACATGGGCCCCATGAGAATAGGGCCTACGCCTGTACCCAGAAGCTAGAGACATTAGCAGCCGTGAATCTGCTATTCTAACACATGACAAAAACATCTGATTGATGTTACAAACCTCAATGGTAACAATGAAAGTCCCAATCTCCGCATTGTTCGAGTTAAACTCCCTCAGTATCTGGGGTACTGCAGGGGCAACCGCTGAAGAGGCTATCGACCTGAGGGCCGGTTAGGGTTCGAGAGATGCCGAGTCCTAGGTTATTGTCACTCACGTCGAGAATACAACGCAAGTAACTATGCCGACAAGCATGCCTCGTCTCCAGGCGGACCAATTGCGTGGATTGTGAGGATCAGCGGGCCCATCCCAGTCCACCTCATTCGGATCGTGGCCATGTTCACTCTCCGTGGCAGGTGAAGGCTTATTTTGTTCGACATCGTGTGTTTGCGTTTCTTTATTCTCCTCAGCGGTCTTATAGTTTTCCGAAGAGAGTCCCGGAATGGCCTTGCACCGATAGCTTCGTTAGCAGTCTGTTCCGGCAAATTATGGTAGGTCAGTATGTACCTGTTGGGCGCCATGTTCTACATTTCTCTTTTCATCAGTCATAATGTCTACCCTGGTCAAAAAGATCCAAAACACTGGGACTTAGGCTTCCACTCATGTTTAAATACTCCCACTGCCTCTAAGGGGTTTGTCAGCTATTCATCGGATATTCGATCAAGGTGTTTCCCTTTTAGGCAATGGATTCCCCGATATTCGTGGAAATCTTAAGCGTTTTCTCATCTGCTTCTAATTTATTGAACATCCTGCCCTAGTCATTGGTAGGATGCATATCCTAGTGCCATGCATGACCATCTAGCCTTCTGTAAAAACACGGGGCAATAGGCTAGAAGGGCTGGATAGAGTTCTGGTATACCAAACCTTGAGAAAGGTCCCAATAAATCTTCAGTTGCTTAGCGCCCTTTCTATGCAAAGCACGTGCATTTGTGACCCTAACCTGAGCTACGTCAATATCTATGTTTTTAGATATCCTAACGTATTTTTCCTAGGTCTTTCTATAGATATACTAGTTTAACACACTGACAAAATGCAATTTAAACTCAAGAAATCTAAACAAAAGCACTCTAGAACTATTCACTCACACCGAAGTCTTCTCGACAGTCTCCTGTAACCATATATAGAGAGATCACATAAAACCTCCCTTTCCGTAGCACAGAGCAGTAATTGAATGAAGTAAGCATTTCTCTGCTGATCCCGATTCTTTGCTTTTTCTAGTTGTACCCCTTACATAAATAATCCCTCATCCTACTCACTGTTCTCTTTCCACAACACTTAAACCTATTCTTTTCTACATAATCTGTCCGATTTTTGTACTAAAAGTACTAAAGATGATATCGACTGTCTTTGGTTTCCTCGGCCAAGTAAGTAATCTTGACACCCCCATTTTGATCAAAATAACGATTAACAACACAACCCGCTCCAGAGGTATGTCCATTCCATCCAGGCCACATTTTGAAAACGATAAATTACTTATGCTAGCCATAAAATAGGCCATCCAGACAGACAACCGATGAAATCCGCGCGACATGGCTCGCGAACCTGGTCAAAGAAGCCAACCGGTCCAAGAACGAACTGCACCCAGTGTTACAAGAATTCCAGCATCTCATCGAATCCAACTCACGCATCTATATGCTCTTTCAATCTATGTGGGACCAAGCCCAAGAAGAGGCTCCCAATCTGAGCCGCAGCCATGAAGTCCAAGACTGCCGACAAATGCTACGAGTTCTCAACTACATCATCACGCACGCACCTCCATATATTGACAACGACAATCTAGCCGGAGTGCCCATGATCGGACTATTCCAATACGCTATCCCGACTATTAGCGGCTATGCTGTGTTCATTGATCCGGAGGTCAACGCCATGCTCAAAAAGGTGCTGGATGTGTGGGGGCAGTTTCTCTCATCCTCTGAATCGGTCTCTGTACTTGATACGTCGCCAACGGGGTGGTTCGGTGACGGAGCTATGCGCAAACTAACCACCACGGCTAATGTCGGTGGGACGACCTATGGATTCGACGAGCTTTACGTCTGCGATCGCAATGTCCCATACTACGGCTTCCGGTCTTGGGATGCGTTCTTTACGCGCCCGTTTCGGGAGAATATCCGGCCCGTTGACTCTCCAGATGATGATAGTGTTATCGCCAATGCGTGCGAATCTCGGCCCTTTGCTATTGCCCGGGATGTGAAAGCCCGGGATAGCTTTTGGATTAAAGGTCAGACCTATTCCCTGGTCGATATGTTTGGGGCTGGTTTTCCGGATTCCTTCCTTGGTGGGACTATCTATCAAGGATACCTAGATACATTCAGTTATCATCGGTGGCATGCGCCTGTTTCTGGGAGGATTGTCAAGGCGTATACACTTGACGGCACTTATTGTTCGACTCCAAGGGCCATAGATAGGGATACTGTTGACGTCTATGAAGGGGTTCAGATTGACTATCAGGTATATCTATCGGCAATGGCAACGCGAGCGGTGATCTTCATTCAGTCGGAAGGCCCGGATATTGGCCTGGTGGGCTTTCTGGGGATTGGTATGGTTGAGATATCAACGTGTGAGATTACTGTGAAGGAAGGGGAATATATCAAAAAGGGGGATCAGATTGGAATGTTCCATTATGGTGGATCGTCTCATTGTGTCATGTTCCAAAGGGGCGTGAATGTTACGGGCTTTCCGGAAGTTGGAAGGAGGGAGAACGTGCCTGTTCGGGGGAGATTGGCTGTTGTGAACCGATAGAGACATGATGTTGGCTAGTAGACTATGCTTAACAGCAATGGATATATGTGGTTTCTGTTTTTTGTACTGGGGAAAGCCAATATAGGTCTAACTCAGTCTAAAGCGAAGAGAAGATTGCTATGAAATCGACTGTAGCCAGAACCTCCTCAGCCGTGAATGTAGGATTCATGATAGTAAAGACTCACCCAATCTCAGCAACTGCGAACAATAATTGGACATATTCATTGGAATTTCTCGCCAGTACCACCACACGATCTGTCGGGAAGAATCCATGTACTATTTCCCAGCTAGAATCGAATAATGGCCGGCAATGGGATTCAGTCGTGATAAGAGACGCATGTTCTGCCACGGCAAAGCAAATTAGACACAAGGTGAGACCCATGTGTGTTTAATCTTTTAAACCCGGACTATCCCGAGCAGGATTTATTACATTCATTTTGAATACATACAGGACAATTAAGCATTCCTGATATGAAATACCAGTAAGTATGCCTCTTGTTTTGCCAGACGGGTTTTAAGATTACCCTTTTGGGACAATCTCGGGATATTCATTACCCAATCGGGCATGACTATGAAGACCCACTGAAAACAACTCGAATGGTCAGACGCACATTGGAAAGGGGAAACCCATTATAGATGTCAAGGAGGGATGTAGTTTGCTGTCATTGCCCCATAGAAATACTCTTAAGCGCAATGATGTGGAACACAAGTTTGGTATTGAATTCCGAAGAGTTCAACCTCAAACTCTCAATATGTCAGTTTCAGTGCTTCCACACCCTGGGTAGGTTCATCTAGATGATGCCTGGAAGGTGCGTAATGATATGGTCTAGGCAATGGGGAGAGCATCAGCTCAGATACCATGAGGGTTTATGACCGCTTAGAGCTTTCGAGAGACTATCGGTATGTAAATCGTCGTGTACTCTCTCTTGATTCCCTTGTTGACATCTTTCTAAGCGAAGTTAGTTCGACATCTTGATGCGGGCCATACATGTCATGAACGCTAGTATGGTTAGACCTTCTGGCGAGTTTGATGCGCGTCTTTTTGATGGGAAATAGGATGAAAGGGATGGCAGACGATTTCTGGGAGAAAGGTCCAGGCATAGAGACAATTTCGAAGGTAGAGAGCCCTATACACAATAGAATATCTGATCTTAATTGTTTTCTTTACATCTGCTGTCAAATCGACAGAGCATACACTGAAAATGTTTGAGGCGACAGACACTTCGGGATAGAGTCAAGACAAGTTGGATGATAAGTAATCCATACCGGGAGATGATGGGAGCATGTAAAGACCATCAGAATTTATAAATCAATATCTTTGTCTATATCTCCCTCAGAACAAAGGATATATGAGAGACGATAAAAACAGTTCAATCATTCCCAGTCCGCGTCGTTAAAGGAAACCATACACACAATTTTAGACCAACAAAAGACCTACAAGAATGTCATTCATCCATCACAAAACCTTTGTTTCTGAAATAAGAAAAGCATAGCCTCAGTTTATAAAACAGTCATCGAACCCCTACTTGTTTCATTTATCATAACATGTTTTCTTGTCCTGTTTCAGCCACCCAGTCTGGTCCCCACATCCAAAAGTTGGTTCCCAAAAGTTGGTCCAAACAGATCCACACGGAGGCCTGCTTGCAGATAACAGACATAACAGTTCCGGTTAGCGCTGGATAAACGCCATTTGTAATCTTTACTGTTGGTAATGTGGTACCTGAGTCCTCACTGGACAATGCGTTTAGTCGCCGACAGGACACGAACGAAAGAAGCCAAAATTATCGACCTTTCCGACCCTCTCAAGAACGCCCCGACAATCGAGGCAGAGATGAAATGCCTCCAGTCAGTGTCTAGTCTCAGCAAGGAGGAACTGAGACGGCTAACCCGGGTCCTGAGCATAGGGTTTATCGACCCAGATGGTAACGAGCCCGGAGATAAAGGGGAGATAATAAAAGCGATCAAGAAACTTCCCTCGGCCCTGCAGAGGCACTGGCTAGATCCCTGGATGGACCTCATAGGTCGTGCACCTGCCGTGGCCCTGTGTGATTTGCACACGAAACTGAACCCTTACATGATCCGATATATATTTGAGTTGTTGCGGTGCGAGGTAATCACACATTTGGAGTGCCTCTACTGGTACCATAGTGTGCTCCATGATGTTCGCCTTGACCTCGTCGATATAAAAGTGCGCGATATTGTGTACAGTTTGGGAGATATATGCTACATGTGGACCCCCTCTCGACGAGCTATCCAAGGAAGCCCTGTCACGTACCAGCAGAATAAGTGCGAAGCGTGCATCCTAGCCCGGATTGTCAACGGGCGGAAATTCCTGCAGCATCTGCGTACAGCCCTCCTGAGTCGGACAGCAACCAGAAGGAATCACCGGGTACCAACGTTTCTCCCCTTCGTGGAAGAAAGCATAGCCTGCCATGAAGGCTTCATTGATAAGATACACTGGCGCAGCAGCACACTGGCGGCAACCATGAAGCGCCAGCGGAAACATGCCCACCGGGCTCGGATGACGTCTGACCCGGTAGCGAGTCTCAAACAAGACCTCTCAAGAACCGCAGAGGGGGCCGTAGTTCCCATCGGGATAGACCCGGAAGTTCTCGAGTCGTTTCAAAAGGGCCGACAAGAGGGCGGAATCCATGGCGAACGACGCACAATATCTGAGCAGGTGCCCAAAAAGCAAGATAGCGACACCGACACCCTTGCAGGAATAGTCGGGTTGTACAACGAGCCTCACCCTCTGAACTGGATATCCTCTCCCACATCCTGTGCAATGGAGAGTCAGTCAGATCTCTCTTCCGTCACCTACACCGACGAATCACCCACTCATGTGTCACCAGCCTCCCTAACTTCCACACCAGATCCGTTGCTGGTTCTTTCACCATCAACCCGCAAGCAAAAAGCACCGATGAAAGACCGTGTTGATGATAGCAATGACGGATGTACAAGTAGGTACATCCCTCCCCGGAGAATGTCCAATTGGGAGCATGTGCTAGGTAAACCCAGTTCCTTGGACCTATTTTCCCACGGAGGTCAAAACCTTGGGTGGGAAGGATCGCAAGAGTATGGCGGATGTGAGCAGATAGCGGCCCAATACCGCAATCTACTCAGCCCAGCTCAGCCATACTACGAATCGGAACACGGTGAACTGTTCTCCGAGTCAAGATCTGAAGACAACCCAACAGGGAGCCGGGAGAGTCAAGATACCAACTGGAGCTTTTTATTTAGGTGCTAGAAAATCTTCTACAAACGAAGTGTGGATATGATCACATCGGTCTGCACGCCGCCTGTATTCCAACTTTGCCTCGCACTGAAGATATACCAATGGTGTTGATCAAGCATCTGTTGTGCATTCAAAACATAACTGAGTATATAATTCATAATACAATCGAAAGAAGAAAGAAGACGTTCTTAGAGAAGAGAAGCAATGGCTCAGGAGAAAGTAAAAAAGAAGAAAAAATAAAAATGAAAACAACAATTGAAAAGAAAGGTAGCCATGGACACTGCTGTCCAAACTCATTGCCGTGTAAATCGTCCTGATTAAAATGAGTTTACCACCAAAGAGAAGTCATTGTACAAGCCAACATATAATCATGATCCCCGATATTAATACTAACAGTGATCCCGAACGGTCCGGAGGCGTCCTGCCCCTCCGAAGCCCTTCATATGCAACAAAAAGAGTCGAGAAAAAGATATTATGATTATCAAAATATTCACCGAGAAGAGAATGCTTGCGGAGAGCAAAGTAAACAAGGACACAGAAGAAGTCAAAGGTGAGACTTAGAGGACGCTGCTGGCTACCCCGTGCTTCGACCCCTTGAGGCCGTCAAAGGTCGCCGTCCTTTTGCGCAATCGTGACCGTGCAGTTGTGTCTGCTGGCTCACCCGATGAGACTGTAGCGGAAGACGTTACGCCCTCCCCTTTAGCACCAATATCAAGAGCGTTGTCGTCGTCCAGCTTTCTCTGTGCTGCCTCACGACCCCGTTCATAACGAAGTTTAACATCACCCTTCCATTGAGTTTCGAGAAGCCGATCCCAGATGGTGAAGAACGGCTGGGAGAAGTTCGTCTTGATACCCCAACTCTGGTGGTGAATGTCATGGTAGGCGGCATTATTGGAAGTGAAATGCTGCAAGGGGTCCCAAGGGAAAGCATAACCGCAGTGATCGTCCACAGTCTTAATCGTCGAACAGGTGAAAAACCACATGGCCTGGCGGTTAGTCATTCTAGCCGTCAAGAACGCAACACCGGTACCGGCAGTGTCGAGGAGGAATCCCTCCACGGGATGGTTATACAAAGCACCGAACGCATATGGGACGTATAGGCGGTGATGACGCGAGTGAAAGGTGACTACCAAGACAGTTAGATTCAACATCGTCACTCATCGAGCGAGCGGTGAAGAAGATAGCTCTAGTGCTTACCATAAAGCCAACGGTTCAAGTGCATTGCACGGTGGAGGAAATACTGCCAGGTGTCGACGACGCATACACCCCAGACAAACTGCATCGTAGGAATGAAGTACCAATAGATGAAGCTAGCCATGGACAATTCCCAACCGGCGAACGCAGGAGCGATGGCTTCGACGCCATTTTCCAAAACCAAAGTTTGGGTGAGTCCTGGATAGCGTCCACCCGCGAGAACGGCCCCCAGTATAGTATAGCCATTCTTCGACAAGGATTTCGCCAATCCCATAGAGTCAATGCCGAACACCGCCAAGAAACGCGGGAGTGTCCTTTGCAGGAGACGGATACGCTGTGCCCAGACTGCCACATCATACTCCTCTTTGCCGATGCATTCCACGGGATCGAAGTGCGACACAGCCATGCCGGCCATAGTTTGAATTATCTGTTGTAAAATGACATCCCTCACGACTTCCCAACGCGATACATGGTTCCTTTTGAGGACCTCTGCCGGGGTATGCAAACGGTACTGGGGAAACAAGTCGTAGACATCGATATAATGATAGACCATAGACAAGGCCCAGTAAGCGATAATCGGGAGAATCAGCGCCACAACGTTATCAGGAATCGGAGATAAAAGAGGTGGACGTGGTGTCAAGGTATACGCCGGAAGAGGCGGGAGGTCATAGACCACCGAAGCATTGACTGCCATGGTCAAGACGACAGCCACCCGATGTTCAAAGGTGTTTTGAAGATATACAAGGGAAGGTTTCAAAAAGATCAACACATGAGTTGATTTGAGGGCTGACGGGTTACGCGATCTAAAAGGGACGAAGCCAAAAAGAAGGATGTCGATAATAGAGGAGGACAAAAAAAGAAAAAAGAAAGAAAGAAAGAAAAGAAAAGAACTAGTAGTATACAAGGGCCGCGGTTCCTGGATCCGGATCTTTCGCGATCCACAATTAGGGGAGGCGAACGGAGAATGCACGAACCGAGGGGCCGGAGATGCGTTCGGACGTTGGAGGTCCGAAGATGAGATGAATCGCGGAATTGGCAGGTATCAATTCGGAGCTGATTAAGACAGTCGGAGCAGGTAGAGAGCGTCACCGGTAGGCGCGAGAGAGCGAGTCTGTCGATAGATATAAAAGGAAGTGAATGCGCGATGGGGAGACAAAAGTTCAAGTGGCACCACGGGAAGTGCCAGGCGACCGATAATCTGATCAATAATACGCTTCTGTTTTGTATCCGTCATATGCCTTCTGGTATTGTGTTTGCATATGGGTCTTTTTGGTATTAGGCGGTAATCCAATGGACGGAGGGTTTGTCTGCATGCTTGGCCGATCACCCCTGATGGATTGCATTTTGCAGCCTGACCACTCAGGCAGATTGTCCAATCTTATGTAAGATTTCACGTTTCCGGGTATGAAAATAATGAAAATAATAATGAAAATAATAATAATAATAATAATACAACCAGCAGACAGGACTCTATTGAGATTGTTTACCCCTCAATGGGCCTCTAATATTACTGTGTTTGTTTTCTAGAAATTTTTCTTCAATTATTTTGCTCACTGTCAGGTTCACCCCGAGCAAACTTGATCGGGCCAGACAAGTCGACCACTCCCAATCTGACATTAGCGTCATTTGCCCCTCGAAACCAACCAGCAAAAGGGTAAAAAAAAAAAAAAAAAAAAAAGAGAGAACCCCACCAAAAAGGTTGGTCAAGAAAAACGGGTGGCACTAAAACTTCAAATATAATTCCCCTCTTTCTTCCTTCTCTTTTCTTTCCTCCTGTCTAGCCGTGTGCCATCTCACTCTCATTTCCTCCTCATTTTCTTCTCTTCTTGTTACTTAGGTTATTCCTATTCATCTATCAAAATGATCATCTACGAGGTACGTTTTTTATTCTCAGGTGGCTGGAATTACCCCACTTTTTCACTGTTTTCAATGTCATCCCAGAAAACGACAATGATGCATGAACACTTGCAATGCACTGCGTCAAGCCCACATCGGATATGTATCCAAAGAGATACTAACAACTTGTTCTTTCTGTAGGATATTCTGACCGGCGATGAGATTATCTCCGACACCTTCAAGCTAAAGGAGGTCGACAACGTCCTCTTCGAGTGCGACTGCAGAAATATCACGAAGAAGCTGAACGAAGATATCCAGCTCGATGGTGCCAACCCCTCCGCTGAGGGTGGTGATGAGGACGCTGGTGGTGATGCCGACACGGTTCAGGTCCTCGACATTGTGGACAACTTCCGTCTTCAGGAATACCCGAAGCTCGAGAAGGATGAATACAAGAAGTACATTAAGAGTAAGTCTATAATATCATCCAACGACATGTTGGAGCATGAAAGTTAACATACTCTCCAGGCTACATGAAGAAGATTCTCAAGGCTCTTGAGGAAAAGGGCGCACCCAAGGAAACGATCGACGAGTTTAAGAACAATGCCCAAACTGGCCTCAAGAGGATCCTTGCCAACTACAAGAACTACGATGTCTTCGTCGGTGAATCCTTTGATGGTGAAGCTATGTATGTTCAACCCTCATCCTTTTCTGAGATTTTCCCATTGAGCACCCGCTAACATATTCACAGGCAAGTTCTCGTTGACTACCGCGAGGATGGTGTCACCCCCTACGCCACTTTCTGGAAGCACGGTCTTAAGGAAAACAAGGTCTAGATTTCTCTACAGTTTGCTGTGAATAATGTCTTGGAATGAAAGAAGGAAGGTGCTGGAGAACGCGAACATCCTAATTCTACCAGAGCAAGTGGGAATGTGAAAACCTTCCAAGGCACCCCTCGGTCTCACATCCTAGTTTTCTACTATAGCCCCTCTATATCGCTTACTCGGTATCCTGCTTGATATCAGTCACGCCTCATGAATCCCAAAGCTGTTATGTCTCTTTCTGCATTATCATGCGCCCTACACTAGGATATCAAAACTTACATATCGTCCGCTTTTGTCCGCCATTGCATCCAGAATCTGGACGGGTAAATAAAATATCAGTTTGACGGCCTGTTCTTCAGGACTACCGGTTTCCAAATCCCTTCTACCTTGTTTATGCGTTCTACTCTGGGTATGCGTAGTATGTTGTAAACAGGAGTGTGGCTTCGTTCATGAAAGCTATGTACAAAAAAGGACTAGGTATATGTACCGTAGAATACAGCCTATTGAAGAAAGAAAAAACGCCTCTAAATTCCCAAAACAGGCTTGGTCTAAACAAACGGATCATCAACAGTATCCAACCCAATCGGGGCCAGGAATACTCCCGAAGCCTGTTTCACTTCCCCCCAAACTAGCAGACCGATTATCGCCACCAACCCTACCACCGCCAAGATCCCCAAACTCGAATCCAGCCACAGGATCCAGTTCCATGAGCTCGTCAGCGACGGGGAGGTGCTGGCCGAAGACGGCGTCCCATTGGTCCCAATCGAAGTTCAGGTTCGGGTCCATTAAGGAGGGAGGTGTTGGGCCGGCGGCCATGGATTGTGCGCTAGGCGAAGCCAGGTCCATGAAGGACAATGGAGGGGGTGGAGTTGAGGTAAAAGGGATGGCGGTGCTGAGTGGTGGGATGCGGTCAGGAGAAGGCATGATGGAAGCAGGGGGAGGAGGAGTTTCGACCGCTGGATTGGCATTGGCTGCGGGTGATTGGGGGATCTGGGGAGTTGGTAGATTTTGGGGGGTGTCTGGGACGGAGGTTGGGGCAGAGGTTTGGGGTAATTGGTATCGAAGGGGACTGGGTCGTATAGTGGAGACGGGGTTGGGGAGCATGTGCGAGCGTGTCATGTTGTAGAACATCTTCGAGAAGTCGGCGAGTTGCTGTCGCGATGTCATTGTGGAAATCGATGGAGTCGGGGCTGTAGAGCCGCTATTGGCATAATAGGGATTGGAGGCACAGGGATATTCGTCAGGTCCTGACGCTGCACCGGCTTGTATCTGTGCTTGCTCGGTCCATAGCTTATGTGGATCCAGACCAGCTTTCTGCCACGCTTTCTGACGTAGTCTGCGAATCATATCCCATGCCTCGCGGCCGCCATCTTTCAGCGGCCGTTGGGCTGAGATGCCGTCCTCGCCGCCGACAACACCTCCATCTGGTCCGGTGAGGGAAAAGATCTTGTCAATGAATGCCCTCGACTTAGGAGCCTCGGGGCTATAAGGTCGTTCGTAAAGATCGATGAGCATGATCATAGCGGCATGCATTGGCTGATGGTTACCCGGCCAGCTCCATTGAAAAGGTTGAAAGTCAGGGTCGGTGGCAAGGGATATGAATTTCTCCATGAAGCCGTGACAGTGGCGGAGAGCACTGCTTTGGAGTCAGAACAAAATAGCCTTATTTCTCAAAAGCCTCATATGATCATACCTGTGTCTTGCCGCTGGCCAAATACGGCTCTTAGCGTTCTTAAGGAACGGCTGATAGGCAACACAGAATGCCTTGCAATAAATTAGAAACGGTTGCTCAAGCGTTAGTGTTAAGGACACTCACCTTATCAATAAACAGAGAGAGCAATATCCTGGCCCATTTGTGAAAAGACACCAGAACGGGAGAGTGATACTGTTCCGTACAACGGCCGGGTCCTTCTCCAGGAAGTTCCATGTCGCTAGTTCTCATCTCTACCGGAGAGACGGAAAACGAGAGCGATGTGTTATTAGCGCTAGAAGCCAGCTGATAGTTTTCAATTTCTGGTATTCGGTTGATAATGGAATTGAGTTTGAGTTGCAAATCGAGGAGGATTGACCTGAGCTCCTCCATATCCCTTCGCGTGACGGGTTTCGTGCCCAGTTGAATCTTCAATATCCGACGAACGGCGCCTATTATTGTCCACATTAATGCTACCCATCATAACACCATAGTAAGGCAACTTACGAGCCATGACATATTTGCCTCGAGCTGATAAATAGTACACGTTGACCATGGATGGTCCACCGCATAAGGTTGGATCATCAGGGTTGTCAGGTGACCTCATCCCAGATGCTACCAGTTCCTCGTATTTTTCGGCCTCGGGTGTCCCTAGAAGTGTGTCTTTGACTTCGCTGGCGTCACGGACATCCCAATAGTTCTCATCGCTGACCAAGGGAGGCAGCCCGCTAGACATAGCAACAACGCCATCCATATGCACGATATGCCACCATATTCGACGCCGATACTCGGCTTCATATGGTTTAATCCCAAATTTAGCAGGATCTCGATGCAGGCCCATCGTCTGTGCTACTCTCATGGCCAGACTAATGAATAAACTGCTGGTTAACGGCTCCTCTTCCTTTGAAAGTATCGTTTGCACCAGGAGGTACGCCGCCAAGCCCTGTAGCGAAGGGCTGCGCGGAAACGATATCTTCGTCAACCACCGCGTGACCTCCTCGTTGAAAGTTTTAGAGAGTGCGGATCGCGACGAGACATTGAATTCGGCCTTAATGGTCCGGATCGATATCGTAACCGAACCACCGTACCAAATAGCGTACAGAAGAGGAATAAACGAAGGGTCCGGGCAAGGATCTCCAGAATAGCTGCTGTAATCGTACCAGTCCCAGAACGAGTTGTATAGATTTAAGATTGTTGGGGGGTGAATCACTGGACTGATAGCATGAATACCAGACATAAATCCTTTGTACAGAATATGACTCTGTCGTTTCGTCGGTACATGATCAAGCATCTCTGGTTCGACATGCTTCTCTTTCACCGATGGAGAATCACCCGTAGGGAAAAGCACCGACCTCTGGAATTCTTCTCCACCAGATACTCGATCCCGTGCGACTCCACCAGGGCTATCATTCGATGCCTTCCACGGACTACCTGCTGCTTTCGCCATGGTATCCGTCATATTATCATCAGCAGAGCTTTCATTAGCCGTAGCATCCTGATGTGAGCGACTTTGATACTTGAGCAGCTGATTGAGCTCATTGATCTGCGACTGTCAGCTTGTATAATACGAAGTACTAAGGTATAGCTTGCAACATACCTCATGTGATATGTAAGCCCAGTAGGTTGTCCCAACATATCTAACAATTAATCAGTTCCACCTGTTCGTATATGAGGAGCGTGTGACGTACCTCGACCTACCCCCATCCTCCAAGCTCAGATGACCCAGATTCAAACTACCAACCGGGTCCACTAAGTCAGTAGCAAGGCCAGCGGGAATTGGAAACTCATCACTCGAATCCACGCGACGAGGACTATCTGGACGAGAAGCGCTCGCGCTCTTCACAGGCGCACCATTCCCTGGTCGAGCTTCACCTTTCCCAGCTTCAAGGTTGATATTTTGAGCCAGCAAGAGCCGTTGTTCCGCATCCAAAGGTCCATTGGACTTGCTGAGCCGCTCAATCATTGACGTGAGTTTATCCAACCGCGCTTCGATCGCCTGCGACCCGTACTTCTGCTCAGGAGACCCAGCCTGCCTCAGATGCCCATAAAGCGAACCAATATCGTCAATATCCTCATCCAGCGGTCGCGAAGATTCCCTCCGTCGCTTGATACCGTGTCCACCTGCTGTTTGACCGTTGTGCGACCCGGTGTCTTTCTGCGGCGCAGCATCGTAGATGCATTGGGTTCCGTTCTTCACACAATTTCCGCACACAGGATGCACCTAATAGCCGTTCAGCACATTTTGTCTCGCTATGAACCCTATCAAGAAGAGTGGCGTACCTTGTCGCATTTCACCTTCCGTCTCCGACAAGTATGGCAGCTGTAGCTGGCGCGGTTTCGGGTAATTTGACGAGCTCCGGCCTTTGCCGTCGAGGACCGGGACGCAGTCGACCGTGGGGTAGATACTGGCGCAGAGGTATTATTCAACTGGGACTGGGCTATCGCACCCGCATTCGAAAGCCCATGGCCGGGCGAAGTGCTCGTTGGGCTCGTGTCCATAATCCCTTAATTGCAGTGGCGGGGTTCTTTCAAGCGTCAACGGGACCGCACAGTAGATTCATCGGGAACGGCGCAAGCGTGACGACGAGTCAAATCATAGGCGCGAAGGAGTAGAAAGGGTCGAAGTCAATAATGTAGCATTAAACTGTCTAAAATCAACTGCTTTGTAAGGATGATGGTGGCCGAGGCTGGTTTATGTCTGGGGTAAAGTCCGCGTTATCGGCGACGATCGTTTTGGATTCCGATGGCCAATCAGATGAGGCTTATACGGAATTCGGCGATGGCCAGACCACGACTTAAATGTTGACTGACTCAAAGCACGACATTGAGGGCCTTTAGGTAATTCAATTCTATAAGAGTCTATTTGTTTACAGCGGCATCATACGGTAGAACCTAAATAGCGTCGGTTATTGCCTGCATGACATGAGTCACATATCTGGGCATATCAAACGGGTATGTATGAAGAGTGTTTCAGCATCTCACACTGCAACTGTTTACTCTGTACCGCGCTAATATCAAACAGACGGTGGTCGGCTGAAAGCGCTTCACAATACCACTTTTGATTTCAACTTGGTATCAGAGAAGAGCATTGAAGCCCTCTATAGGTGTAAACAAACGCCTTACGCCCGTACAATGCAGCCAAAAAACGTGTACACAATATGGACAGGTAGACAATCGTAATAACTCCATACGGCAGGCAACCTTAGGCCTTTCCCTTCTTCTTGTCCTTCTTTTTCTTCTCCTTCTCGCCACTACCTCCGGAGGGTTCTCCTCCCATCATCCCGGCCAGCCCGGGCATTCCAGGGATCTGAGGCATTCCCGGCATACCCTGCATGTTCTGCATCTCGGCCATAGCATCCTTGAGCGGGTTATCGCTGACTCCGCCGCCGCTGTAGGCAGGCGAGTGGATTGGAAGAATTGTGCCGATCTTCCATCCGCGGGGAGCAGAAGGAGCAGGGGGAAGCTTTTCTGGCATTGGAAGTCCGCTGATTCTCAGACGGTAAGGCGATTTCTCGGTTGTTGGGTGAGCTTTAAGATACTGGGCCACAAGGATATAAAGGTGATGCTCTAGACACAAGTTAGCAACATATCCTAGACTAGCATCGGACGTCCCTCAAATATAGAAATAGTACAGAAGCAAGAAAAAGGAGGAAAACAAAAGAAAAACGCACTATTCTTAATCTTTGGGTTTGCCAGTTTCCCATCCTCGTCCTTCAGCAGCACCCGCACTCGGCCTGGGTTCGCCCAATCCTTCGGGTGCAATTTTTCAGGCTCGAATCCAACCTGTAATCCCAGCATCTGCGCAGCATCAACAATATCTCGAGCCAATGGGTTCTCCACAGCCAGCTCTGCGCCGACCTTTCGGCCCTCTGAGCGGGTTCGCGATTTGTCGAAGTACACGGGATACAGGCACTGGTAGTGTTTCGGGATTTCGCGACGAGGTTCAGGGGCTTGTCTCATTGGTATCGATGAGGCACCCTGAGGGGAGATACCTGCAGCGGAGAGGAGGGATTCATTGGCGAAGTTGGAGGGCGTGGAGTCGGCAGGGGCAACCTCATCTGGATCAGAGTCGTATACCTCCTCTACCTGTGCGTGTCGTGACATGGCGATCTCAATCGATAAAGAGTATACGAAAGCGAAGGGTTAGGGGGACAAATGGACTGAATTTGGCGAGTCGAGGGTGGGTTGGGGTAACTGTCAGCCTATGTTGGCCTTTCTGTGCGGAATGGAGTTTTAGTGGCTCCAGTGCGGAGCGGAGAGTTTCCACCGCCCACACTCGCGATAAGAGCTGTTCAGGTACAGCATCAACTTGACATCGATAGTTGCTTAAAACAATGGGCAGGAATTATGATTTATTTTTAACCTGCTGTGATATCTCTTTGATTAAATTTTACTTCTACCGGTGAACATTACATAAAATGTTATATCAATATGATAATGCTCTCGTAGTCCTCATGATATATAAACAAGTGTACAACCGAGCAATCAACATGACTCCCAGAACCAGTAATATTCTAACCAGATTATACTTTATAATATCAGAAACTTACTTCATTTTGATTCAGGAGAACTATTCCTCCTGTGCTAACAAATTTTGATTCCCAGCAGAGAAGTAGGAGAATGAAAGGATGCTGCACTCGAAGCATAAAGGTAATGAGAAATCTATCTACCACTAATACTTGAGATGTAATGCTATTAATTGAAGTTGACTTAGTGTAACGAATCTAGCTTCATAACGTGGCACTTATTGGCTGCTCAGAACATCAAACGATGTTTGCCCTAAGTACTCCGTAGAGCTACCCTCAATCATCAAGTGTACGCCCATAACCCCCAATCAGCCGAACACAATTGTTGCCGAGAGTTCTCCTTGTACCAAATTGGGCAGCCTGCATAGTCAGCTGTGACTCAATGATTGCGAAATATCATACGAGTATCTTCGTATAGTAGCACCGAACAGACGGGCCGTCGGTGGGTGCGGCCAACCATCCACTCGGGATCTCGATCGGCATGCCGACCCCCCCGCCCTACCCCACAAACTAACAAGTTCTAGATAAGGCCCAAAGAGGAGTATGCTGAGGATATATAGGCTGATGTACTCCTCTGTAAGAGTGAAAGTTAGATTTTGCCTCGCATTAGTGTCTATTTTGACCGTCGATCCTGATTGTTCTCAACACTTGACCAATTCCTTTTGCTGAAATTAACTTGCCCTAGGCATCAACCAGTGAATTCAGTCATGAGTGAAGGAACGAAGAATAGCGCCGTCCTTCACCGTGATACCCGCTTCCTTCCTAGGAAAGCAATTGACGGCAAGGGCATCTACATTTTCCTTGAAGATGGTGCTAAGTTCCTCGACTCGACCGGTGGCGCAGCCGTATCTTGCCTGGGCCACGGTCATGAAAAGGTCAAGCAAGCCATCATCAATCAAACCAATACGATATCGTATTGTCATACGGCATTCTTTGGTACCGAAGTGGCTGAAGAACTAGCTCAATTCCTTGTCGATTCAACAGGCGGCAAACTGACGAAGGTGTATATGGTTAGTTCTGGTATGTCATGATCTCCAATGCTCAGAATATAGAACTAACATACCTCTACCAGGCTCCGAAGCAGTTGAAGCGGCATTGAAATTAGCTCGACAGTATTTCCTCGAGCTCCCCACACCCCAACCTCAACGCACCCGGTTCATCGCCAGAAAGCCCTCATATCATGGTATCACCTTGGGCGCTTTAGCTACGGGAGGACATGTCCTTCGACGACAACCCTTTGAGCCATTGCTTCCCAAAAACACCTCCCATGTATCCCCTTGTTATCCTTACCGAGGTAAAGAAGATGGCGAAACAGATGCAGACTACGTTGCTCGACTTGCTGCAGAGCTAGACGCCGAATTCCAACGTGTTGGGCCGGAGAACGTCTGTGCTTTTGTTGCGGAGCCGGTTGTTGGAGCTGTGAGTTACCATATCCCTACTCTGGATCGATACTTCTCCCTAGAGCAGCGGTCTTAATCCTTGACTTCCTCACAGGCTTTGGGAGCCGTCTCCGCTGTCCCCGGCTACTTCAAAGCCATGAAAGCAGTGTGCGAGAGATACGGAGCACTTCTCATCCTCGACGAAATAATGAGCGGGATGGGTCGCTGCGGAACGCTACACGCATGGGAACAGGAAGACGTGGTTCCTGACCTCCAGACTATTGGCAAAGGTCTTGGAGGTGGATATGCCCCCGTATCTGGTCTTCTGATCGGAGAGAAGATCGTGCAGACATTAGATAAAGGGACAGGCGTTTTCCGTCATGGGCAGACGTACCAGGGCCATCCGATATCATGTGCTGCGGCTCTAGCTGTGCAGAAGGTCATCCAAGAAGAGAACTTACTAGAAAATATACGGAATATGGGATTTTACTTGGAAAGCCAGCTCAAAAGTCGGTTGGGAGATCACCCGTACGTGGGGGACATTCGTGGGAAGGGGCTTTTTTGGGGAGTAAGTTCAAGATAGTTCTTTGAGAACTGTGCGGGTCCTCTTATTCAGAAAGACTAACGGATGAGCACTACAGATCGAGTTCGTTAAGGACAAAGTCACCAAGGAGCCCTTTAGTCCCGAGATGGGATTAGCGATTCATATCCAGGAAACTGGTTTGGATCCAGCCTACGGGATCTCCTTGTATGCGGCTGCAGGGTGTGTGGATGGAGCGCGAGGAGACCATGTTCTCCTTGCACCACCTTATAATGTAACGAAGGATGAGATTAATCTTATTGTGGAAACTACTGCTAGAGTCCTGGATCATGTTTTCACCACGGTGGTGAAGGTTTGAGCGACTGGCATGGATATTGAAGGCGTGAATGAATGCAGTGAGGTCAATGTATACAAGGACATTTCCGGTAATATGAATTTGTGTCGATTTAAGAGTATAATTAATGAATGTACAACAGCTACTTAATCAAACCAACCTAAAGCCTCAGCCGGGTATTCACTTTATTGAGTTGTGGAACATTCAAGAAATCTATAATACACAACACACAATGGTCACATTAGGCAATTGAATCAATTTCAGCACCATTGGAAGCAAGCACTTCTTTCAGCTTCTCCTTGGTTTCACCATTTGTTACAGTAGCAGGTGGAGGGCCCTCAGCCCACATGCTAGCAACTGTTTCCACCGCACGTTCGATGACCACTCGAACCCTGTCTCTCATCACCGCATTGGCACATTCAACTTCAAGATCCTCAAGCCATACCCGCGCAACGTGCTTGTCGACTCTGATCTCAATTCCAGGGACCGGGATTCCCAAAGAATGAAGTCGTGCAAGTTCAGCGGCTTCCAGTTCAGCCAACCTTTCGTCGTCGTCGTCGTCGTCATCTTCTTCTTCCTCTTCTTCTTTAGGAGTCTGCTCCGCAGCACTCATTTGCGCCGACGCTTCGTTCTTCGCTGCCCCGTTGGTAAGTTGTGTAGTGGGTAGTCGCGGACGCTCAATGGGTGATATGTCCGATCCGAATTGTGCCTCAAGCATCATGAGAAGGCGTGCAAAACGTTCTTCAGGGCCTAGCTGTGAATGAGGGTTAGGAAGTTCAAGGGTGTCGTGATGGTGGTGATGATGGTGCTTTTGCTTGGCGGATTCTGTAAAGATGGTGTCAGTAACTGAAAGCAGTGGCCTATATGGTGTAGAATGTGTGACATACGCTTCACAGACGCAGGGCTGCTTTCAACAGTGAGCAGAACTGCCATGACAGCATCGGCAACCCCATCATTCATCATATTCCCTTCCCACTCGAGCTCGACCTCGCGAGTACGAGGGAAATAGCGAATGACTACACAGCCCATGACAAGATAGGCCTGTTCATTTTCGATAGGGATTTCTTCATCGGCCGCTTCCTCTTTCATTTTGGATACTTCTTTGGAACCCTGCTTGCCCTCCACATTCTCCTCCTTGACGTCGGTCTTCGGACCAATCTCCTCGATAGCACCGAAAGTGCCCTCGAGTGCCCATTTGATCAGGTCCATACTCGCCGAGCTGAGGGTTATATGTTGCTTGCAAGTGATAGTTGTCGTAGTTAGACCGGCATATTCGCGCAGATCGTCGGGTGCCATCAAAGATAGGTTGAATCCGTTTTGAACAAGGACACCGGCCATGAGGTGGCCGTCGTCTTGCTCCGAAGGAGGCGCAATTTGGGCCAGCTTCCCGACGACTTTCGCAATTTTGTCCTTCTTGAAAGGGATGCGGACTTCTTCACAGTTTGCTGGTGTATATACTTTGACCTTTACAGTCTTCTCCGCATTAAGACTGAGAAGCTTGGATTTCAGTCGCATCATCTGATGTTTTTCGCCGTGAACAAGGATCTGGGATACGGTCAGGGATCCAATTCAAGGGAATAATGAACACGGAACATACCACAACAGGAGCAGAAACTTCTTCAATGAAATTGCGATTTTCAACGCCATCAACATGAGCTGCGAAACTGATTTCATCCACAGTGCATCTCCTTGGAATCATAACCTTTTGTTCTTCATCATTGCCGCCTCTTCTCGCCAGCCCAGTCGCTGCTCTTGACATAACGGCTGGAATTTGCTCGGGTTCATTAAGGAGCTGCTTGGCCATTGTACCCTCAACGCTGTAACCGGTCATAACAACACCGTTGCGCTCATTTGGGGCCCAACGCTCAAGGAGTTCCCTGCTTGTACCAGTCTGTAGCATACCCGGGGAAGCTAGCATCACACAACCCCCTACATCATCGAAACGCTCCAGGCTTCGCAAACTCCTAACGAATCTAAAGTCCCAGGGCCCAGCGCTGACACTCTTATCGCCGCTCGCTTCCGCCTCCGCCATACGCTGTCGAAAGAGTCGCTTGATATTATCATTCATTGCGCCGATATATGTCTGATAAACAACCATGCATCTTCGGGCTGTATTTCCAATGTAGTAAATAGGCACTTTCTGCAGTTCAGGATGTTTCTCCCAGTACTCATCAAGAATAAGTAGCAACTCTTGGGCACGGCCGAGAGCAAAAACAGGCATTAGGACCCTACCACCGCGATTCAAGACCCCGGTGATTGACTTCATCAGTGCAGCTTCACGTTCCAAACGAGGTGGGTTGGATGAGATTCCAAAGGTCGACTCCGTAATAAGAACATCAATCTTTATTCCCTTTGGCACTTCGGCCGGAATCAAGTGCCGGTCTTCTTCACGAGAGTAATCGCCGGTAAAGAGAATATTCAAGCCAGCTATTGAAACCAAGAACATAGCGGCACCAAGGACATGGCCGGCAGGGAAAGGAGTGATACGGATGCTATTGATTGTGTGTGTTGTATTGAAATCTATTGTTTCAATCAAAGGAAGTGTAGAGAGATGGTCATGTTCGGTATAAAGAGTGGTACGTTGATCCGACGAAGACGCGGTGTTGCTGACCCGTACATTGTCCTGAATGAGCCACTTGTAGATAGCCTTGGTCGCATGTGTCATAAACACGCGGCCTTTGAAGTTCGTTTTGCTGAGGACATAAGGGAGAGCGGAAGAATGATCAACGTGGAAACTAAGTAGGAATCTATCAGCCACCTGCTTGACCTAGGGTATCCAGAAGAGACTATGGACACCGAGCCAAGAACGCCAAAGCGATGCACAGATACAGAGATACATTCGGAGCACAGGATAAATAGCTAGTATAAATTGTATTGTGTTTCTCGTATACATGGGAAGAAATAAGCTCTGCATCGAAGAGAACCAGACTTCCACTGATGACAGATTTATCCAGAATCAAGCTCCCGAGGACCGAAGGAGGCTTGTGGCAAGCGGGAATGGCTATGGACCACGATAGACTTTGCAAATACAAAGGAGAGGAGTATATTACATACTGGCTAATCAAAAGGATGTCCACTGTGCTCAAGTCGAATTCGTCGAAGAATGGAAGAGCAGAAAATCCCTCTTTCGCAGGATGCATACCGGCGTCAAGCTGTCAGAAAGGGATCAGTCAGCCTTAACTACCCATAAAAGATGCCCATGTAGCCACACACCATCACTGTTTTCCCCTTATATTGAATAATATGACATGATCGGCCAACTTCATTTCCTCCACCTAGACAGTAGAACCCCAGCTCGTCTGACGGGTCGACAGGCTCATCGTCGACCGAGGCATTTAAAGCCGATGCCTTTCGTTTTGTCGCCATGATGCTCTGTATTTAGTAAGTTCTGTTAAAACAATTCATCTATCTTTGGCGTCACAGTGGCCCTTCCGAGGATAAAGCGCAATGTTAGCGCAAAGACGGACTAAGGAGCTATCCCTCTCATGTAACAATTAATATGTTGGGACTAGATCAGCCATGGCAGGCGTGTAATATAATAGAGCAAAAGCCTATGATCTGAATGGCAGCGGTGAATGAGAATTCCCCGACTGATGCCTGGCGCAACTCTGCCAATCCGTGTTGATCTCAAAGAGCATCAATGGGAGTAACAGTTGGAACAAAAGAAACGCGCTTCCGCCGCCCGACTTACCTAATTGACACGTGACCCCAGCGGGATCCGCAAATCTTGTCAAGGAAAAGCTCCCTTTCCATCTGCGAACAACACGGTTAGACCCGGTCTATTCACCACGCACGCATCTATTCTTCTGTGAGGGTACATTTGTTGAATTTGTTTGACGACTCTATGCTGGACGCTATTTTTTGAGATGGTTACAGTTGGTGGTGGTGGCGGTTCGAGCAATCCGCTCAGTTTCGACTTTCGCGCGGGCGTGGTCTTTGCATCTCGATAGACGTGACCGAAACTACAAACGATCTCCTGTACGAGTTTATCACCTGAAAACCGAGAAACACAAGCCACCATGGCGCAAACACAACCGCAGCAGTTCTCCCAGTCTTTTTCCCCTCCGGGGTCCTCCCCCTCTCCGGGGGCAGCTTCCCCGGTGAATGGTGGCGTCCCTCCACCGGTCAAACGACAACACCTCTCACCTCTCCCGCAATCACCTTATGCCTCACCGAGCTTTGGAACGCTACAACTCCCTCAAAACCAACCGATACCTGTAAATGGAGCGAACCTGAACGGTACAGGTCAACAAACACCACAAACACCCGCTCCCCCACCTGCAGGCACCATGGGACCACCTTCTCGACCAGTAGAGAAAGCGACAGATGCCGCAGAGCTTACAGATGTCCTGGCTTCATCCGGTATCGATGTTAGGGAGGAGGAGGCGTTTCTTACCAGTAGTTACTCAGCTCCGGGAACCCAGGCACAGCAGCCACCAAGACCCCAACAACCTCTCACGCAACAGCAGCCACAACCTCCGCTGAATACATCCTTTACATCACAAGCTTCAACAGTATCAACACAACCTAGTTTCACAGAACCTTCACCATACAAACCGCCAGCAACTCAGGAATCATTCTATTCTGAGCCACCACCACCAGCAGCCCCCGCTCCGTTTAAAGATCCCAATGAACCAACGCGAGAGGATACCGAAGCCGCTAGACGTGCCCAGTACCACCTGCAAGAACCATTCTTATTGACGAAAGTTTTGGAGCAAAAATTGCAACGACGTGGCTTTGAGCTTGGGGTTCGTATACCAGCCGAAGGTTTGTTTCATCCGGTACCAGGCCGTCCGCAACCGATCGAAGTTACCGGGCCCGACGGATCATCTGTTGTACGTACTGGGCAGACCATCTTAAATCAAGAAGGGGCACCGTTGGTGGACATACTGAACTTGATGTCAATCTCTTGCGAAGAGCGATTGCGGGGCGTCATCGACTACTCTTCTACGCTCGCACGAAGCCGACGTGCCCACTCACATGGGGTCGTACCTGTTGAATTCAAGGACATGGCTGTCTCGGCTGGTGTCCCTAACGGGACTGGGGCAGTTGACAAAACGCCACTCAAACGTGTGTTGAACTCTTGGTAGATGAACTTTTTTTGACGTTGGCTAACAGCAAAACATAGGACCTCATTCAGCGACCGAGCAACCTGCAGCCAAATCACTAGCTGAGAAATATCGTGCGCTTATGGAAAGGGACAATTCTAGCGAAGAAAGCCGAGCTGCCAAACGCGCTAAGCGCAGTGCCAACGCTATCCTAGGCGAAGGCGGCCCCGTGAGGGCCGAATCTGTAGATATACCTGGCTCCGGTGCCTCTACACCGATCCCCGACAAAGCGCCAAGCATCGATAAGAAGGGAATATCTAAGAAAGAGGCTAAGAAGCTCATGGATGCGAAGGCAAGCGAGGCCCAGCAACACCAGCAGTCTGTGGAAACCGCACGACTCGCCACCAATAGCATGCTCTCGGGTCGTATGTTTGGAACCAAGAAGTCCTACTCATGGTTAAATCGGGGGCCAGCAGCCACCAGCAGTGGTTTTTCTACACCGTCACGTGTCAGTACCGCAACCCCAAGCGGGACGAGTCCCGAGAAGCCTGGCCGTGAACCAGCCATCGTGCCCGCGAAGCGATTGGGAATGTGGCGGGAGGACAAAGACAAGGGCTCGGGGGTTCAGGTCCGAGACATCTTATTCATGCTCGAACTGGATGGCAGAGGCCCCCGACACGTGCAGAAAGCGTATTCGAAGGATCTGAAGGAAGACCGAATAGACTGAATGAGCCTTCTTCATGTCCTATATGAAATGAACCGTTGATGCTAGTTCCGCTGCATTCTCGACTTAGCATTTGATCTTTCTTGTCTTTCGAGGTCCGCACAGTTACTGCGCAGGACCGTGGTCTCTGGCGTTGCGGTCGGTATATTCTCATTTTGCTCAACACCTCCGCCTCGGGTGTCCCACGCTTGTTCTTGTATTTTTCTCCGCGTGCAATCTTTCTCGAGGCCGGAATGGAGTCACTGCATATGTGTGCCGTTTCTTTTCTTTGGCCCTCTACTACTTACTACTACTACTACTACTACTACTACTACTATTATTATTATTATCACGAGTACTCGATTTAATTGGGGTGGCATCTTTTTTTGCAGAGGCCGCTGCAGGATACATTTACCTCGCTTCTTATACCCTTTGTGACGGTAGGGGGGGGGGGAAATTTATAAAATCAGATATCCTGATGAATGTAACCTTTGTCTGATTTTTTGTTTTTCAACCCGATCGACCCGGTGCCTGTAGAGGATAATATTTGCAAGGTAGAGATCGAACTGCGTACGGCGTACAGAAAGTATACATACTCGGGTCACGTTCCAGATTTCCAGAGTACTTAGTATTCAGTCTCGACTGCTGTACTGGGGTTAGGGCCGAACGTGAACTTATTGCGGGAACCCTTACGCACCAGACACGCAAGCAGAAGATCTCATGCGTAGATCGTATCGTCATCACATTAGCACCCACATTATCATTCACTGCCACGGGAGACACATCAATTAACATCACAAGAGCAAATACTGAGGGATCCCCGAAGAACTTTTTTTCGATTAAACCTTGTCATGGTGACAGTCCCAGATTCAAGTGTCAAAAGACTGACATTGAGGTTGAGTCGATGAACAAGATGACATCAGTTCGCAGCGAGCCAAGGGAACCTGACCGCAAAAAAGCGGAGGGGCTCCATCCACTCCCATCCAATCCTATCCAGTCAATCGCCCCAGCGGCGCCATCGCTCGGATGGGACTAGCGTTGTATGTATGTATGTATGTATGTAAGTACTGAATGTATGTAAGTGCTGGGGAAAAAAAAAAAAAAAAAAAAAAGGGAAGGTGAAAAACCTCCTCTTAGTGTGTATGGAGTATGTATGTACCTACTTTAGGGGGATTAATTTACTTCTGCGAGGTAATTAATGAAGTAAAACTGTGTTTCAGTACAAGAAGTGGTTGCTCCGGTCGACAGGAAACGCCTCCGACACACAGGGCTTTTCCCACCGTCGCCACACCGTTTGTCACCCAACATCAGATCGACATTGCATTTTAGCTAGGAAAGAAGAAGGGGGGAAAGAAAAACTTAGTGTTACCCCTAATTATGATATATATTGGCATTTGGAAGAATTTGATTCATTTTAAATTATTTCGAGAATGTTTCTGTATCCGGGGAGGGAAAAGAGGAGCTCTTGTTCTGCTCTGGGGACGGCGGTATTTAGTATTTTTTACCTATAAATGGGGGAGTGGATGGGACGATTAAGGCTAGACTCCCGGCGCTATTTCATGACTGGGTTGCCCCGGGCGCTGCAGTGCACTTTGATGAGCCTTGCGATCTGCGATTGAGTCCCATGGCTGTGTGTGCGAGATGGTTAAACGTCGGCTGTTGTGTCGTTTCCATAGGGGACTTCCTTTAGGGGCCATATCTGGCACATTCTTCTCACATATATACTCTCTGTATGTATGCCTGTACTTGTATAGATCATGTATGGATGGATGTACCTTAGTAGTACTATAACCGAATGAGACAACAACCCTAAGACAGGTTGAAGAGATCACCTTGCCTGCGTCTTGCACGATCTGAATCTGCTTGACGACGTAAATAGATTAAATTAATTAATTAGATTAACCACCTTAAGACAGAATCACGGTTCACCCCAGAAGGAGTTGCTGTCGGTTGGAAAACCGCTGGTGCGTGTCATGACCGAAACCAATGTCTGCTTCAACCTCCACGAGTTGGCCCTTAATTAGTTCAATTGGCATTTGCCAAAACATCCTCGCCGTCCGTGTGTCGTTAGTTCGGGGGATTTTACTCGAGGCAATGAATATCGGTCTTTTGATATTTTTCACAAGAATTATTCTTTTCCTTCCATAACAATATGTATATTTTCCATTCTTAATATAATTATTATTATGATTAGGTGCATAATCCCTTTTACTTGATCGATCTCCTTTTTTTTTGTATTGCTTTATTCTCCCCTTTATTTATTTTATTTTATTTTTTTTCTTTTGTCCAAGATAAAATACATGATCATTTCCTTTTCTATCCTATTGATCCGTTTCGCCTCAGCAGCAGCCTCACATTCTCTCTCTATTCCCCTTCCTACTCCGTCCAGGTAATAAGTCATACGAAAGGATAATCACCTGCTCTCTTCTTCCCTGCCTGGTTTTTACGTACCGAAACCGATGCCAATGGTACAGCCCATTGTCCAAGCGAAGCAAATCAGACAAACGTGAATCCTACCGTTCCCTCCATCCAATTTATTCCCATGCAATTTTCCCCATTTTCCTACTACTAGTATTTACCTCTGAAGGCTTCGCTGCTCCGACCGCCTCTCAGTCATCATCCCCCACGCCTCTCAACCGACTCTCGCTCCCTCCCTCTCCCATCTGCTCTCCTCTCTCTCGTCTTCATCGCCTCTCTGTCTATATTTCCTTAGGACGACTTTTGCTTCATTGCCAATTTTTGTTTTTCCCCCCTTTCATTCTTTGCGTTGTCAATCGGATTTGCCGTCTATCAATCGACTGGGAGCATTACGAGAAACTCCGGGTTTCCGACCTGGTGTTTCGAGTCCCCTGTCTTTTCACCACAACCCCCCAAAAGTAGATTACGACGGTCTACTGCGATCCGACGGGGTTAGACCTCCTCATACCCTTCATAATTCTTCTCTCGTGCTTCGCCAGCATCCGCCGCTCCGACGACCGGCTGGATTTCTCTCCTCACCATGTCTACTCCCTCGACCGCCACTGCGACACACCCTACGCATCATCAGCAGCACTACGGATATCCTCACCACCCGTCCTACCAACCGAACCCTCCCTATCCGACCACGTCCGCCGCGGCTACCTCTCGCCTTGCCACCACCTATCCCTACGCCGTCAACCCGGCAACTGCCACCCTACCCTTCACACAATCTCCAAAGATCGTCTCGGCGGCTCCCACGCCGGCAACGACGACGGCAACCATGCCCCCAACCCACAATGGAGTCAGCGCTAGCGCGGCCCCAACCCAGACCGGAAGGAGGAAAAAGCCAGACTGGGGCGAGTTCTACAAGAATGGTATCCCGAAGGAAGTTATTGTCATCGATGATACTCCACCGCCGGAGCAGTCCAAGGGCTCCGCTCGCAGCTTCGCGACGACGTCCACTGTGACGGCTGCCTCCAACGGAAACCTACCCCAGCCCGCGGGAAAGAAACGGCGCACCGGGGTCGAGTCGGCGTATGATGTGACATATTATGATCGTCCGTCGTTCTCGATCAATCCTCAGCATTATGGAGAGGATTCTTCTGCTGCTTCGATTTCAACGGATCGCACAACGTCTCTGCATACTACTGCGCCCACTTCTCTTTCTCAGGGAAGCTCTGGTGCGAGCAACGGTGTTTACTACGAGGATGCTAATATCGGACAAAAGCGGAAACGGGTTACCACCCGCAAATCTGCTCGAGACGAGCAGAAACGGCGAGAGCTAGAGAATGCCGGTGATGCGTTTTTGAACTATATTCCACCTCCCAAGCCGATCATCAAGGCAAAGGATGTTCCAGTGCCCGTTGTTCGAGATGTAAGTGGCTCATACCCTTTTCTTTTTTTTGCATTATTGTTAGAGTCGGAGAATTTAACATACGGCAGTATGCAAACCGAGGAGAAAAGTTCGATGACGATGATGGTCATTATATTGTAACACCAGATACCCCATTAACAGACCGATGTGAGTAACACCCTGGTGACTGTATATATTTGCTTGACTGACACTTCATAGATTCGATCATCAAACTCCTTGGCCAGGGAACGTTTGGAAAGGTGGTGGAAGCGTATGATAAGCATCGCAAGACCCGTGTTGCGGTCAAGATCATTCGTTCCATTCAAAAGTACCGGGACGCGTCGCGGATTGAGCTTCGAGTGCTGTCGACGTTGGCTTCAAACGACCGGCAAAATCGAAACAAATGCATCCATTTACGCGATTGCTTCGATTATCGCAACCATATTTGCATTGTCACGGACTTGCTTGGGCAAAGTGTTTTTGATTTTCTGAAGGGCAACGGCTTCGTCCCCTTTCCCAGTAGTCAAATTCAGAACTTTGCTCGGCAGTTGTTCACCAGTGTGGCATGTAAGTGCTTCTACCACCCAAAGCATTGGTAATTCGATACTGATATCACATAGTCTTGCACGATCTCAACCTTATTCACACCGACCTTAAGCCCGAAAATATCCTCCTTGTCAGTAATGCCTATCAAACCTTCACCTACAACCGCACGATCCCATCGTCGTCACACGCAATCTCCCGCAGCGCACGTCAAAGACGAGTTTTGTTGGACAGCGAGATTCGTCTGATTGATTTTGGATCCGCGACCTTCGATGACGAATATCACTCTTCCGTTGTTTCCACCAGACATTACCGGGCGCCAGAGATCATTCTGAACCTCGGCTGGAGTTTCCCTTGTGATATTTGGAGTATCGGCTGTATACTCGTCGAGTTCTTCACGGGGGACGCTCTTTTCCAAACCCATGACAATTTGGAACATCTTGCCATGATGGAGGCTGTAATAGGCGACCGGATTGACACTCGTCTCGTAAGACAAGTGATGCAAGGTGGACGGAGTGGGAGCCAGAACCAGTCTGCCAAGTATGTTACGTCATCCCCTTAGGTGTTGAAGAAGTGCTAATCGGTGTTAGGTACTTCATCCGCAACAAGCTTGATTATCCTAACGATGAAACCACTCGTGCCTCGCGGAAGTATGTGAGGGCTATGAAACAATTGACAGTATGTAATCGGTTACACCCGTTCAACTTCTGAGGTCGTTGCTAAATGTAGCAGGATTTTATTCCCACCACCACCAAGTTCCACCGTTTATTCCTGGATCTTCTACAACGCATTTTCGTTTATGACCCCAAAAACCGAATCACAGCCAAGGATGCTCTCAAGCACCCCTGGTTTAAAGAGTCAATCGTGGATGATGGCACTGAAGCTCTGCGGATTGGGGAACAGTTGCAGCGCAACACCCAACGCCGCTAGACCGACATGTACCTCTGATGAGTACATTTTCAGCGAGTCCTCATGTTGTTAATCTCAAGTGGCTATATGACACTGGTGCCTCGACGGCCAGCCAGTCTGTAATTTGCATGAGTACGGGTTTATAGGTTACGATAGATGGTTTATTCTTTTGGTTATATGCATCATCGGGATGGCAGCCATGTCCACGATGATCGATAATGCAGCGGAGACTGCCGACAGGTTGTCTCTGGGGCTAAATTGGGATGCCCGCTGGAAAAATTGCCCAGCTTTTCTAGCGGTTCTTCGAAAAAGCCATCGACATCTGAAGGAATCCAGCGACCGGAAGGAATGGGCAAAAGTGTAACGACGCTAGTATGGGTTCTTATCTATTTATTTATTACGGAGGACATGCTTGTTTTTACTTTTTATTTTTTCTCACTGCTATTCGCACAACTGGGGGTCAGGATCTGGGGCTTGTGGGATATGGTCTTGTTTTTTCTTCGTTTGATATCTTCTCCGCATCGTCGATGTGCTTCATTCTTATCGGATTTTATTCATCGTCTTCTGGGGCGCTCTGGTGATATGATACAGGATTCTATCTTGCATAGTTGTCTGGTATATTGTTCCTTTTCTTCGTTCTCGCGGTAGTGAGTTTGACGGTCACTACGATCAGTGCCATCAGGTCTTCGTCGGTGGCCAGAATAGCCGAATGACGCCTTTGCATGTTCTCCCTCGCCTGGTAGAGGAACTCTGATGGTTGCATTTGTACTTATAGGACTATACGACCCCTATACGTTAACGACTGTTGAAATTGTGTCTTTTTCGTTTCCCTTGTTAGGTTTGACGCGATGGCGGCTGATATCGGACTTGATGCGATGATGATCAGCAAATCACGATATATCTCAGGAGACACTACGAGACGATCTAAGCACGATAGTCACGCTAGTGGCATAGACTACGGCCAAATACCCCTCTTTATCGAACCCCTCATATTATATACTCTGAATGTTCCCATTGGCAGCCAAACCAACCTCTCTTTCAGCACATCATGGGCAGTATTGAGACCAACCCGGACGTGCCTTTTGCATTTCATGAGCTCACAATATCTCAATACCACTCGGAACTCATCCATGGACGAACGACATGCGTCGCAACAATCACAGCATATATCACCCGGATAAATCAGTACAACAGCACCCTGAAAGCGATTCTAGCCATCAACCCTAACGCCCTGCATGAAGCACACCAGAAAGACCAGGAGCTCGCGTCTTGCGTTGACAATACCGGCAAGGACAACCCTAAACTCACTCTCCAACCTCTGCACGGCGTCCCAGTAATTCTAAAAGACACTTATACGACTGCCTTTCTTCCCACTACATCTGGCGTTCGAGCTCTTCGCACCCTAACGACCGACACCTCATGCACAGTCGTGCAGAACCTCCTAAACAATGGCGCCGTTATCTTGGCCAAATCCAACCTGCACGAGTTCTCGCTGGAGGGAATTACACTTTCTTCACTCGGCGGTCAAACCCTAAATCCTTATGACCTCACCCGCACCCCTGGCGGCTCCTCCGGTGGCACAGCCGTCGCCCTGGCGACTAACATGGGACTGGTAGGCTGTGGCGGCGACACAATGAACTCGTTGCGGTCGCCAGCGTCGGCGTGCGCAGTGGTTGGCTTCCGGCCGACTCGGGGACAGGTCTCCCGGAGAGGCATTGTTCCAGTCACAGAAACACAGGATGTTGCGGGACCGATGGGCCGAACAGTGGGGGACGTGCAGATTCTCTTCGAGGCAATGAGAGGAGAAGATATGGGAGATCCCGCGACTTTGAACCCGCTACGATATCAATCACCCAGTTATATATATGCGTCCAAGATAAAACTAGGCATCTTAAAAGACTACTTCAGCGACGGGACCACGACCGAAGGTTTAACGATCAACAAAACCATCTATGACGCACTAGCTAGGCTTAGAAGCAACTCACCATACATTGACCTCGTTGAGATTCCTCATATGCCCGACTGGGACGTCTTACGCCTCCGCACTAAAGTAGACACCCAAGCTTACGAATTCCGCACCGTACTCGACGCATTCCTCAACTCACAAACCGTAACCACGCCGCACAAATCCTTGGCCGCCATCGCAGCAAGTGGCCAATACAACTCCCAAGCCATGACAGCCGTGCTCGACCAGACACTCCAAGGCGGTGAATTCACTCCCACAAGCCCCGAGTACTACTCCCGACTTGAGAGGATAGAGTCTCTCAAGGAGTCGGTGGAACGGTGCTTCCAGGAGTATGAACTCACGGCCTTAGTGTATCCGCATCAGAGACAGCTTGTTGCAAGTGTGGGGTGCACAGTTCAGCCAGGTAGAAACGGAATTCTGGCGGCGTTGACAGGAAGGCCGGCTATTTGCTTCCCTGGTATGTTGATCCATATCCAAATGCACCTTTGTGGTGGATACCTGGATAGATACTAGACTGTCAAGTGCTCATATCCTTACAGCAGGGTTCAGTCCCGAGACGCCCTCCGCACCACTGGGCATCCCCATCGGCATCGAACTAATGGGCCAACCCTGGAAAGACCAGGAACTGTTAGGCATCGCGCAGGAATTCGAATCCGTCCTCACAGCAAGGAAGCCGCCCATTTCCCCCCTAAACTAACCATATGCATAACATCTAGACAGGTACAGTATACACATATAATCTTCGCAAACCTTACCTCGATATGTACATCTACCAACCATGAAACATCCTATCAAGCCAATACCTGAAAATCCAAATTCTTCCTCCCAAGCTCATCTACAAACTCCCCAACAAACCCAAACCCACACTTCCTCAACACAGCCTGACTCCCTAAATTCTCCTCCGCAGTAGCAGCCCACAATCCATCCGCAACAACCACAGCATCATCCCCCTGCCCCTGCCCCTCTAAAACCCACTTAATCTCCCCAAAATGACCCATCACCCCCCTCGCAGCCTCCGTCGCATATCCCTTCCCCCAAGCACCAACATGAAACCCGTACCCCAACTCCCACCGCACCCGATTCGACCCCACCGGACCCAAAGGCATCGCCAACCGCTTGATACCAATCGTCCCGATTACCTTCGGTTCAGGAAATATAGTACTGGGCTGTAGTTCCCGAATAGCGAATACGAGTTTCAGATAAGTTTTTTTTGGTGATATCGTAGTATCATTGGTATCAGATGCTGCTGGACCGCAAGATGATAGCATCCAGTCTATCGTCTGAGAGATAGTCGTATCAGGTGTTCCGCTTGACCTATTCTACCAGTTAACATTGAGCAAACACTATACTAATCAACAACAGATCACAGAATGAAATATTCATAAAACAAAATCAACATAACCAGAAAAAGAAAGAAAAAAAAGAAAGAATCCGAAACGAACCCCCATTTTGCAACCTCCGGATCCCGACGCATCTCAAAGACATCCTCTGCATCGGAGAGGACGAGGGGTCGAATATCAAGGCGGGTAGTTTGGAAGGATATCATTTCTGGACGCTTATGTATGGGTTCCGTATACATAGATTGGTGTCCTGGATTGGGTTCAATGGTTGAAGGGTACTTATTTTGGGGTGGTTTTATGGGGTTGGGAATTTATTGGGTGAGTGAGTCAGTGAGTCATTCATGGTGGGGGGGGGGGGGGGGTTTGTTGAGTCAGGGTAGGGTGTTTCTCACCTGGTTTTTGGCGCCAATTTATATGAGATTTGGGGTTTTGGAATATATCATTCTATTTTGGGGGGTCAATGTATAGTTGTATGGTTTGTATTGGTGTTCTTGGGTTTGTGATTTAGGGATGTGATGTGATGTGTTTGTTATATTGAAGATATATATATTGACATTAAAGTCGAATTGTGGTTGGTATTCGTAAACTGTCTGAACTATTAGTATGTATAAGCCATGCTTGGAACTCCTTATAGGGTACCGAAAGAAATATGGAGTGGAAATGGATATAACAAAATCGACGTAATTTAATGTAGTGTCGGGGTTGATTATTAGATGAGGGTTGGCTAGTCAAGTCACGCATGTCCTTGGGATTCTGTTTCTGATTTGCTTCCATAAGAGAGGGTGATCAACTGTGACTTGCTTTTTGGTGATATGCTCTGCCTCATACATATTCTTGGGTTCTGAACGTAAATCATAAGACGATTAAATATAGTACTGTGTGGGGTAGAGGAAATTTGGTCTGAGGATTAAGGGTTGTGTTTGCAGATGGGATGCAAGTTCTTTCTTCGTTGTTTAAATTGCCAATACAACCTGCGTACTGTAAGCTCGTCACGACGGGGCAGCTCGTTTCGGAGCGCTTTAGTTGGAAGCAGTATGATATATATCTTGGGTTGCGTTTGGAGTGGGACTATCGTAACGGGCACATCTAGGGCTGCCTTTGCGTTGGAGAAACGGTGGGTATATTGATGAGTTTGCGCAGTGGGCATACAGAGTAGCTGTAACTCTATAAACCGTTCAATGAGAGAGTAAGATATCTATGTAATCTATCCATAGCCTGTATATACGGACTGAACCTTTCCTGTCCATGATGCGCCAACATCAAAAGGGTAATAGAAACGGAAGAAATGAAATAAAAAAAAAGCTGTGTCGCAAACGTCAACTATGCAAACCAACTCAGGGGAGCTTTACATCCCCCGGTTGAACTCAACCATCCCGTCCTTGCCACCCTTCTGCCAGAACTCCTCCTCTAAAGACTGCGCACTGATAGCTTGGCGCTGCGGGAAGGCTCCCAACGCCAACGGCAGGGCAAACAGGGATGTAGCAAAGATCAATCCCAGGTTCAGAGGAAGCACCATACGGGGCCGAGCCTTGAGCCAAGCCGTCTTCTCCAACCGGAGCAGAACCAACGGTGGCAAAACCATGATCGGGGTCGCGTTCAGCACACGACTGACCGCAGTCTCACCCACAGCGATGGTGGCCGCCTTCTTGCTCTTACCCAAGCTCTGGATCGGCTCGCCGGTCTCCTCCCGCTTCTTCTTCTCAGCCTCCGACAAAACCGGGTAGACGTCGATACCCTGGCGGATCTCCTCACCACGCATGAGGAACACGTTCAGGGCGCTAGCGCTGGACACGGCAGCGAAGGGTACCAGTCGGCCGAGCATGAGCTTAGTGCTGGGCGACAAACCCTTCAGACGGGGTACGAGAGCGTTTAGACCTAGTGCCACTGAGCACGATGCCGACACGGCCATCAGGTATGACTTGGCCATCTGGGAGTAGGACAAAGGGGTGGACTTGTTCGCATTTGCGTTGTTGACGGCAACGTTAAGCGACTGGTTGGCAATCTGCCAAAGAAGTGTACCAGTGGTCTGACAAGCTCGTATTAGCCGATGACCTGGCTGTGTGTCACACAAGGGTTCCTCCTACCTGCAGCCCGGGCGTAAGCATGCCGGCCGTCACCACGAGGTTGGTCATAACGTAGCAGGACATGCGGAAAGGAAGGAAAACTGGTTCGCCGGTGTCTAAGGAGGTTGGTTAGACCTATTCAAGATAAATCGCTTTGGCAACGGACCTGGGTGCAGCGTAGAATCGACGACCTTCTTCGCACGCCACAACTCGGGTGTCATAGCGGGAATGTGGCTCTGCTTATACGAGGAAATGAGCTGCTTCGCACCCTCCAGCCCCGACGAGGAGATGAATAACATCCTAATGAATCTTAGTCCAGATACAGTAAACCAGACGCATGGACAACATCATGCTGGCAGGGCTCTCAGTCATGAAGAGTCGGGGGGGAAGCATACCTCGGATCGGCGATGTCAGCCGAGTGTCGCACACGGCCCCAGTATGTACTCAGGTCATACTGAGAGGGAGGGAGATCCCGATTGCCAGGAATGGAGCTGGACATGGCCGGAGAGGGAGCGTAACAGATGGCAAAGGCAGTACCTCTTGAGGAGGGTTCCTGGAGTGAGCGACTGGGGGGGGGGGGAAGGAGGAGGGGGTGGAAAAAAGAGTCACGGAAGAAGAAAATCATTTACAGGAACCACACGCGCTATCGGAGGCGGTGAGCCCGATAAGGTGCCAGGTCCACCAATGACAGACTGCCAATTCCAGAGGGTCGGCAAGGGTCCCGTCACCGCCTTTGCAGCGGATTTAAGGAACCGGATATCAGTCCGAGAATAGCCGCCAGGTACGCCTTTTACTATTTGTTTATTCTAAAGGAATAAATGGGCGTTCGCTATGGAATCATTGATTAAGTACAGTTCATTCAGAATACTCGATCCTATCCAGTTGATGGGCCACGGGCTCCATCCTGATTTTGTCCAAAATCACTAGTTACAGTAGTACATAGGTATCACGTAGGCCGCTCGCCTTGGCAATTAATACAAAAATTAGGAAAGAAATGATAAACGGCAGTATCTCACCCGGGATGCATAATAATATAGCCACCAATGTACAATGGTGAGCCAAAACATGTTTCAAGGAAATATGGGGGGGAGGGGTATGTCTAAGGTTATCGCACAACGAACAAAGGAGACCCGTTGAGAAAAAAAAAAAAAAGAGTGTGGCCGTCAGTCAAGGGACCTCATCATGAGGGCCGAGGGAAAAGGCTGACGCAAATCGTGTCATGATTTATCCATGACAGGCGCGCAAATTGCTTGCTTGCTTGCCTGCGGATGTGGGGTTCATCGTCATAAGTTCTTTTACCGGAATCGATAGGATTTGTGGGCTAATGGCGACGTTGGTGCATGGCCAACGTTCCCGACAGGGACCCGGATGCGATTTCTCCGGGAAGGGGTATGGGCACAGAAGACACAGACGTAGACTGATGGCAAGTTAGCTCGCTCCAGACCGACACACTTGGTATGTAACCAGTGGCTGCACGATTCACTATATCAAATCAGTTTCCTGGTCTGGTTGCAAGGTTTCGTGGAGAGGGTAAATACCATTGAATCATCAAGTGGCCACCATTGTCCATGGAATTACAGATACATCTGGTTCCATTGCTCGGATTGCTGTATCGGTCGGTGTTTGGGGTTGCCAGATCAGGATCCGTCATGGTCGTGGGGGACGTGTTCGGGGCCTGGAGATTGAGATCCAATTCGGCGCCAAATCGGGGTGGTGAGGAACGGAGATGCGCCAAGGAGCGTGACGATCGGTTGACCCGTGAGCCGAAGTTGACAGTGTGGGATCGAGGAATGCGGCCTCTCTCCTGAAGTACCTTTCGGAGTGCATGCTGGGCATCACCAGATTCCTCTTCCGAGTCAGCTAGGGGTGCCGGAATCGAACTGGCGCTGCGGTAGGCCATGTCGGACGGTATGATCATGGATTGCCGCTTTGGCGTACGCTTCCAGTCATCCAGACCCTGTCTATATGTTGGCCTTCTGGCTAGACCCCGAGAAGAACCGTTCCAAGGTGAGGCCCGGCCAGATTGGGATGAAGCCGCAGTAGAGGTGTAGGAGCCCTTGGAGTGTGGCCGGGAGCCCGAATCAGAAAAGGTCATCGAGGGATTCCGGCTGGAAACTGTGGGATACTCCGAAAATTCTGTCGAGTCATATTCGCTTTCGGTCGTCGAACCATCCAAGTCCATCCCAGTGAGAGGGTCCGATAGCCCAGTAGCGGCTTCAGTGACGGGTTGCATCTCTGCCTTAGCTCTACCGTCCTTGCCAATCCGCAGGACAACGGACTGGGAGCGCCTGGGAAGACCAGCAGCGACTGAATTGGAGCGCTGCAATGGCTGCCGCTGGGGTTTGGTGGGTGAGGATCTCTTAGAAGGGCTCTTCCGGATACCACACGAAGACGACATCATTCCACCGAACCCGGGACGCTGTGCGGATATAGCACTCTGGGTGAGACTCCGAGTCAGCGTCGGTCGTGCCTGTCGAGGAGTGAAATCGTCGTCGTCGTCGTCGACATACGTGGGCAGCTTCTGGTGTACACTCTGCGTGCGTCGAAGCTGCTCCCTTTTAGATTCTTCGGTCTGGTGATGGTAGGGCTGACGGCCTGGTCTCGAGAAAAGTCTCTTGTCCGGAGTAGGCTGGGTTCCTCCGAAGCGACGGGCCGGAGAGCTCAGAAACATGGCTGGGTCTTCAGCCTTGTGGATGGGAATACGGGGGGAAGTCGAGAAAGGAGCGGGAAATAGGGCAGCATCGGTGGGTGCCGCAGAGGTGAGACCATATGCATTGCTGTTGAACTCCGGCAGATCTAGGGTTCCCTCAATGGACGGCAATTGTGGGATGTGAGAGGCTTGGGAGAAGGGCGGGTGGTTCAGGTGAAATGAATCAGTCGTATGGTTATCGAAGAAGTCAATATTACTTCCGGACAAGCCCAAGTCCCCGCCCTGCGGCTCGAGGTCATGATCCCAGAACAATCTCTGCTGAGGAAAGAAAGGAGACGCGGATGGATCAATGCCAGCCAGCTGGAAGGGGTCCGGAGACGTTTGCAGATCGCCAAACAGCCTGGGGGACGCTCCCATCAAACGGCTTGGCGTCTCCAGATGCCCGCCGATGGCACTCGAGGCCGACGGCCGTCGTCCCGTCCCACTGACATTC